GGTTTTAGCAACTGGAAGTTTTTTGTAAGCATTATCGGGAAGTCATAATGTTTGGGTTTGGGGTAGCCCAGCGCCAAGTATGTTTATAAGTTTATACCTGACCCCTAAACCTAAACCCTAAACCCTAAACCCTTGTTGTCCTAATTAGGGTTTCTTTCGGGCTCCCAAGCTAGAAGGCGCCTTATTGCAAATAGATTATACTTAGGGGTACTTAGAAATATTTTTCAATTTTTGGTTATTATAATCCCTAAGAAACAGCTAAAATTACATTTTTTGCTAGGGTTCTAAGATCAGTATAGTATATATAGGGCTCAAAAAGGCAATGATTGTGAGTTGCCCGTATATCCTGCAAGCGAACCTGCTGGCTTTCAATCACTTACCAGAAGGAGGAGTGGCACGGGCTGGGTTTAATATAGGGACCTAAATAATTGCCAACAGTATTTGGGGGGCAGGGGTTCCTTTTTATAACTATCGTATAATGGGCCCCCAACACCCTTTTCTGAATATTAATTAAGGCCCTCCATATCCCTAAATCCCTCATAGAGCCCTTATAGAAGCCTTAAAGGACCCTTTAAAGAAACCCTATTCTAATGATTAAGGCACCTATATTACCTAGAGGCTCCACATATAGTACCATTATGGAATTAGGTCCTTACAACCCTGATAAGGATGGTCTTTTGGGGCCTAGTTCCATAATGGTAGTATGTATGGAGCCTCTGGAATAGTACTCTGCCCCCGGGGGATCCAACAATTCCAAAACTGGGACCGCATACTAGTTAAGGGGTACTCAATCGGAACCCCTCGACGGATCTAGGTTTGGGATCCTGCCAAGTGTCTGAGAAGTAGAGTGGTGATCATTACCCTAAGGGTCCTAACACTTTGGGGAACCTCAAAATGTAGGATTCCTGAAGCCCCAACGAGACCCAAGGGCTCTCCCTAGGAGATTCCGGACCCTCCCAAGGAGATACCTGGACCCTTTGGGTACCACCCCTAAATCAGAATATTTTGGGTTTTGGCCTTGCCGGCAAAAGCTGAGGCCTACCAGGGTGGGGATCCATGTCTGGGTTTCTATAGGGGTTTCGGGTTTAGGGTTTAGGGTTTCGGGTTTCATGGGGGAGTTGCCGAAAATGGGGGACCCTAATACAGCATCCTACATAGTAGGATCCTCATTATAAGGATCCAAAATTAAGAAACCTTGGGCCTTTATTAGGGCTCCTTACATGAATCCTGGTGTTTTGGGGTTGTAGGCCCAGGGTTTCTTAGTCAGGTTCCTACGTTAGGGGTTTAGGGTTGCGGGTTCAGGAGTTCGGGTTGAGCAGATCAGATTGTAAGATTCGGGTTTACGTTTTGTTGCTTAGGCACAGATGATGAGCCTGATTTGCAATCATGACGGAGACGAGCAGAAGACGCCGCGGTTATCCCAGCAGAAAGACAGCATCACTGCCTTTCTCTCCTCCTTGTCGTCGTTCCGGAGCTCTAGCTGAGCTAGAGGAACACAGTCCATTCCTCAGCGCTTGTAAGGGTACCCTGTCTTGATCCCAAACGAGCACCGAGGTGCTGTCATAAAGCTGCACAGCTGTTGCACCCGTAAAGATTTAAGTTGGCACTCGCACCATGTATCATGTTATCTCTTTGCCGATGAGTTCGTAGATGATGGATGTGGGGGCGGGGAGATTCAGCAACTAGGTGCTGTCGGCAGAGCAGCAGGCAGCGTGGCTTGATGAGCCATTTGTTGAGCTCATGCGTTTCATTACTTCCAGCGCACTCTGTGCACGGTGGCCGAAGCCTGCGTCACAACAACCCCACTACAGATATCGGTATATCCCTGTTGTAATTATAGTTAGTGTTAAGGCCCCTGTTTTACCCCCTGCCATACCCAGACATTCACATGTCGTCTTCTTTCGGGCAGCCTGACTGTCCCGGTAAAGGACCCCAGAATTCAAAAAGGTTATGAAACCCTAAACCCTAAACCTAAAGCCTAAATCCTAAACCCTAAACCTAAACCCTAAACCTAAACCGTGGCTGCAAGCCGTGGTCTAGGAGGACCTTAAGCGGTTTAGCTTGTCTGCCCCGAGCACTCGGTGCACTCGAAAGCTTTCAGACCAAAGCCACATCTACAGTTACATAACCCTAAGGATCCATGTACCCAAATAGAGATACATGAGCCCCAAAGTACCTACATAGAGAAAACATTAAGGCCAATGTATATCCTATTTGAGTACATGGACCCTGAGGGTAAGGGTTGCTGTCAAAGTTGGGGTCCGTTTTTTTGGTCACCCTGAGTAATAGGTGCCGTAGTATATTAAGGACCCAAAAGGGGACCCTAATTTTGACAACCACCCATGTCCAGTATCTAGGTGTCAAGTTATTTTATGTTCCTATAAGTTGGCTTCTGTTCTGAGAATTTGGCTGGTATGTCCCTGACGTTGAGCAACAGTTTATGACGCCTTACTTCGTTGTAGTCCCGCGAAACGCCATTATGTTCATTCAGGCCCCTGTAGTCACACATGTATGTGTGTGTGTATATATATATACATATTTATTTATTTATTTACACACTCACATACATACACATGAAAAATGATGCGTATGTAGAAATATTTACATACATGTGTACACATATGTATATAAAGATGTTAACCTCCAGCGTCGATACTCCATCGGCCGACGACCTGCACACGGAGTCTTCCCACAGATTGATTATTGCCTCCGCGCAGAGGGGTTGAAACAGCGCAAGGTGTTCGGGTTTAGTTTCATTCTTAGGGCCCATGTGCCCATATAGTACAGTATACGTTGGCAGGCTTTGGCCTTATAGTAGTCCCTAAAGAGGCATCTTAGGGTCAAAGTACCTACCATACCCGCGTCCCTTAGGGGTTTGTTGATTGAATAAAGGTGGTTTTTCCCAGACCTCGGGAGGATCTAGAATCTAGAATCTAGAATGTAAAACCCCGAATTGGACAACCTATACTACTATAAATTGTACTTTGGACATAAACTCCCTAAACTCTGTACTACTATTCATGGTACTTTAGAGGAACGCCCTTCAGCGATGTACTTTCTCTAGGATGCCCAGTAGTACCCGTATTCCCTTTTTGTAGTTCTAGGTTCCTTATAAAGTTACCCGATAGCCCTTGTGTTCAAAGGTTGCTGGGCATCCTAGTTCCCCAGACCACCGGGAGGATCTAAAAAGTAGATCCCTTGAATGAGGGTTGATATAAAGTACCCTTAGTAGCATAGGGCCCCAAATTAGGGGATCTACTTTCTAGATCCTCCCGGAAATCTGGATTACTACGGTTGATGATACAAATCCTGCATTACCCATATCTACTTTCTGGATCCTCCCGGGGGGGTCGGGGGTTCTAGATCCCCCCGAACTGGTTCGGATCTGGGTTCTCGGAGAGCCTCCGCGTGATACCGGCTATGAGGGTCTTCCTAGTAGAGCAGGCAACCTTTAACCGTTTTTTGGGTAGTATAGTCCCTATTTAATCCCTATATAACCAAAAAGGTTAAACTTTAGTTCTCCATGATACCCGACAAGTAGGTCTTAGAAAGCCCGTATTTGGAACACCTCAACCCCTGAGCCCTATAAACCCTATTTGTGTTTGTGTGCGCGTGTTGTTACCGTGTTGTTTGTGTTCACGAGGGGGGGGGGGGGTCAGATTTAGGGTGTAGGGTTTGTTTGTTTCCGTGGAAGGGGTGGCTGTGCCTTACCCTAAGGGTCCATGTACTCATATAGTAGATACATTGGCCTTATAGTACTCCCTATATAGGTACATTGGGCCCAAAGTATATGCTATATGGGCACATGGACCCTTAAATTACAAGTAAAAAGTAAACTGTTAGGACCACTATTCACTATTCTGCAGGGCACCGGTTCGTTCTGCAATTCTCGCCCAGACTGACATAACAGACCTGCACCCCAAGTGCCAAAGCCCATAGCCCAGCCCTAACCCCTCAAACCGCAGAATTCTGAATCTCTCAACCCCGAAGAGCTAAAACTCGAAACTCCAAACCCTCAACCACTAAACCGCAAAGAGCCACACTCTATGTAACTCTCTTTCTCTTTTTCAATCTTTACATACATATATATATATATATATACACACATATGTACATACATGTGTATGTATATATGTATATATTTATTATGTACTAACTATCGATGGACCCTTCTGTTTGTCTTTACATGTGTATATATATATATATATATATATATAAGTATATATATATATATATATATATATATACACACAGGAAGATATAGATATGCAGCCCAAAAGTCCGTAGACCCAAGGCCGGTTGTCGGGGCCCTAAGCCAAGCCCTGAACTCAACCCCACCGTTCACCCTGCTTGGGTTTGAGGGTTCAGGGTGTAAAGGGAACTCCAGAAAGTTGGAATATGGTTTCAGGGTAGGATACCCTATAATTTACCTTACAGGGATTATGATAATGATATTCCAACTTTCTGGCTTTTACTGTAGGGTTTCAGGGTCTAGGGGTTTAGAGTTTGAAGTTTAAGGGTTTCGGCTTTAGGATTGAGGGCTGTAGGGTTTTTGGATTTGAGTCTCAGGGTTTAGGGTTAGGAACCCTACGCCCCAAAACTCCCCAAACTTTCAAGCAGCATACGCCAGGCTAAAGGCTTTGGGTTCTGAGTTTCCCAACTCAGTCTAAGCCCCGGACCTTCGAAAAAAAGAAGAAAGAAAGGGTTTAGGGATTAAACAAAGAGAACTAAACCCCCAAATCGGTCAGGGACGGTTTAGGGTTTAGGGTTAAGGGGGTTTAGGGGTCTTGGAACCCTAAACCCTAAACCCTAAACCCTGAACCCTGAGTCTCATGGCGGCTTTGGGGTCAATATAAGGATCCTTAAGGGAGGGTGGTTCAAGGAGGGAGGGTATAATGAATCCTTAGGGGACTGTAAGGGAGTACTAGGGAGGATTAGGGATCACTAGGCTATATACCCCCCTCGGACCCCCCTCTCCCTTAAGGATACTACAAGTCAAGGTCGGGCTAAATATGCTGCTGCTTCTTCGCGGGCAGTCATCGCCCCAGTGGTGTCTGGACATCTCAGTCGACTACTTGGAGGGTCGGGGGACTTAGTAAGTAGGTAGCAGCTAGACTTATAAGTACCCTAAAAGGGACCCTAAATAGGGGTTACTAACGATACTTATAATTCTCTAAAATAAACAGTCACTAAGTCCCCCGACCCTCCAAGTAGGGCTGAGGCTGTAAGGAGTCAGAGCGAGGTTCAGGGTTTTTGCTTTCATACTGTTGATGGACACAATCCTGCATGACCCTAAGGACTCTAAACTATGGGAACTATGGTATATTCCTTATCATGGGCAATGCAGGACTTTGTCCATCAACAGTAGGACCACCAGTTCAGGTCACTGCTAATGATCATCTGTTAGAAATGTTACCGTGTATGGTAAGTGGTAAGACTCAACCATGAAGCAAAGCAACCGTGTTTGTTTTCAACAGTGATCGCTGTTTCTTAGTAGTGCATTTATAACTGTTGTCAGCATTAGTAATGTGAAGGAGTACTTTTTGAAGTCGGATAGAGTACTATAGCGGCCTGAATAAATACCTAGATTTTTAGGGGTTCCTTATTATAATTATAGTGCCTATAATTACTTATAGCCCCAATTAAGGTACTTATAACCTTACTTACTAAGTCCCATGATCCTCCAAGTAGGGTTTATGGACTAGGGTTTAGGAATTGAGTTCAGAGTAGGGTCTATAGGGTTGAGGGTTCTCGGTCACCCTACACCGTACCCATAACCATCATACTAGGATGCACAGTAGTACCCTTGTTCCCTGTTTGTAGTCCTAGGTTACTGGGCATCCTAGCATATATGTGTTACAAAAACTGACCCCGGTTGCCTGTTACCAGCATCCTGCACGCATTTGCCTACTTGTCAGGCCTTGCCCGGCTCATAAAGCCCTACAAACTTCCGCATGAAGCCGATATGACAGCCTTGTAAAGCCATATCACAACATGTGTACGAAGCCTTTGTACACAAACGACAACGAACCCAAAAGCACCGTCTTGGCCAAATCTAAGTGGGCCATCAGAACTGATTGAAGAAAGAGAAGGAGCCAAATGGCCGAAAAGAAAGACCGCGCTGAGAGCCGAAGGCTTATTTAAAGGTTCATGGGACTTAGTAACTCACCAACTAGGGTTCTAGACAAGGTAACCATACTTAGAAGTATGTAGAAATGTAATTATTTACTAAGTGCGATGAACCTCCAAGTAACGTGTAGTCAAGAACGCACTCTTACCCTCAGTTTCCAATGCCGCTCTTTTGGTGTCACCTTGTTCTTCAACTGTCGGCTGCAAAAGTTAAACTAGGATGCCCAGTAGTACCCTTATTCCTTTTTTGTAGTCCTAGGTTCCTTATAAAGTTACCCAATACCAAGAAGAGGGGCCTTTTTATTCTCAGGTTACTGGGTATCCTAGTTAAATGGCCACAGAACGAGACTGCTGTTGGAGACCATAGTCTTGGATCCTTACATTACCCTAACTTACTTAGCTTATTGGAGAACTTTAAACTTTTTGGCTTCATATATTTGGTCTAGCTTAAAACGTTTGAACTTTGTTTGGGCCTGGTTATTGGAGAAGGGAGCTAAGGGTCCAAAGGACCCAATAATTAGGTAGTAGGGTTGAGGATAGTAGTTATGTAGGCTACTCTTTAAGAGAGTATGTGATAATTAGGTAAATGAACCCCTAGGGTTACCGCTTTAGGGCTTCAGCGTTTAGCATACTAGCTCTAAAACCCACTCTTCAACCGAGAAAGCATAAGATCCATAAATATGGACCGCAACTGCCTGGATCCCGTCAGATCAAGCTTATTGGGCTTTGGGCATTTTGTCTATCTGACAAGATTTGAGAGGATTCTCGTGCTTGATTCTTCAGGAAGAGACACATGCCAAAATGAGCAAAACTTATAAAGCCATCAGATAGCTTCTCAGGAAACTGACGCGTACATATCCGTAGAGCGACTCGTCACAAGGCTGGGACCAAAAAGCCTTAACACCTAAAGAAGCCATAAAAGCACCCTTGCCTCTGTTTCCTAAGCCACCAAAAGAACCCTAAACCCTAAACCGTAATAGAACCCTCTAAAATGTCCTGAGACAGGGCCGAAGCTGCCACGTGGATGCAGACCTGCTTGGCCGAATACTCCAAGCTGCCGGAGGTGATCCGCTTTGGGGCTTCGTTACGGGATTTAGGGTTTAGGGTGATTCGTTTTGGGGCTTTAGGGCCTTAGGGTTTGGGGTAATCCGTTTTTGGGGCTTTGGGTGTTCATTGCGGCAGACTTTTGACGATGTTGCAGCGAATTTATGTGTCAGCTTTGTTTTGGTGTTACCTTCAGGGCGGCTTGGGTTTGGATGTTGCTTCACGGATATCTCTAAGGGCTCTGTCGGGTAGTCCAGGGGGTTTAGGGTATAGGTCCGGGCGTTGTGCCGTTTTGTTCGGCGAGGGTGTTCATGAGGTTTTACAACGATTTGTGTAGCGGTTTGCTTGGGCTTGTGGTTTCAGGTCGTGGTTTACAGACTCTGAGCCCTGAGGTTTATGAAGTTTACAACGGCTGGGTTCAAGTGCTGGGAAATAGACTTGTAAGGTTTAGGATCTGGGGCGTGGGCGGCGAAAGTTTAGTAGCTGAATAGGTGGTTGTGTAAATCCCGACTTCAGTATGAAGGTTGTTGTTTCAGCTGCGGTAATCAGCAACTACTTGGAAAAGGATGTCGTGTTTCGGGGTTACCCTATGCCTTGTATGAAAGGTCGCTTCTAAACCCGAAACCCTGAACCCTAAACCTTGAACCTTTAGCCCCTAAAACTTTACATAAGTAGGCCGTAGCTACAAACAGATTCGTGTATAAGTATATCCATACACCCATGCGCATCTTATTGCTCTAGGATTTCGAAACTATATTACATTCCACAGTTAATCATTCATAAGGCCACAGATGATGGAGGGCTTGGTGTCCCAGCCTCGGCCGGCCTCCGGCAGTACCAGCGACACCGTCGTGCCGTTCACGGCCTTGCAGCAGTAGGTGATTGCGGTTGAGAACCCGGGCCACGAGACGAAGAAGCTATCCGCCGCCTTCCTTGAGCATAGGGGTACTTATGCATGGTTCATAATTTTTTGGCTAAGAAACAGCTAAAATTGCAATTTTTGTTAGGGGTCTAAGCTCAGTATAGTAAGCTTGTCTTTTGGCCCGTAACTAAGAGTCCTCAGGGTCTTGAGAGGATCAAAGGTTTTAGGGGGTATAGGATTTAGGGTTTAAAGTAGAAGCCAGAAAGTTTGAAATATCCTCATGCCCTGAAGGTATAGTATAAGGAATCCCAGCACTAATCATCCCTACTCCATGTCCCAACCTTCTGGGGTTCACTATACAGCAAACCCCATAATGTTGGGAACCGGATGAAGGTCAAATAGTGCTGGGATCCCCTATACATTACTCTTAAGGAGCGAGGCTAAGGCTATGGGGTTTCCAAGTTTTGGGCTTCTACCATATGGGTGGTTGTCAAAATTAGGCTTTGTTTTGGGATCCTTTCTATAATACGGCACCTAATATTTAGGGTACCCAAAAAGGGACCATAATTTTTAGTAGGAGCTCGGGGTCGGTTTAGATCCCCTGAACCATAAACCCACAGGGTTCTCCGTATTGCTACGTGGAGTACTTCGGTTGATGATAGAAATCGTGCATTACCCGTAATAAGGAATATGCCATAATTCCCCTAGTTTAGGGTCCTTAAGGTAATGCAGGGTTTATATCATCAACCGTACACCCAAAGGGTCCTCGGTATTTCCCCAAATCATAGTCGTAATTCCTAACAGAGAAACCCCACATTCAGGTTCTGGGGGCTCAGAACAAAACCCTAAGGGTCCAAGTTCCCAAATAGTAGGGTGTCTAGGACCAAAACCATTCGGACTATGAAAGTTGGGACCTAAAACCCTGCGGTACCTGGACCCTTTGGGAAAGGTTCGAAAGTAGACACAAAGTAGAACGGTGCACGTTTCAAGTATCCCCCTATATACACAGGGTCCTCAGTACCTACATAGTAGACAGTAGGGTTTCTATACTCAAAGGATCATTGGACTTAGCAATTAGGCTTATAACCGAGGTAACTGTCTATACTTCGTGTTACATTATATAATTAAGGTACTTATAACCTCACTTACTAAGTCTCGTGATCCTGCAAGTAGTAGACTGTAGGGTTTCCATAGTAGGAGTTGCTACAATTGAGCTTAGGACGTGTTGGGATGGCTTTACTGAAGATGCTCCAAACTCTACTTAAAGGGTCATGGGACTTAGTAACTAGGGTTTTAATTAATTAAGGTAACTATACTTACGACATTACTTATAACCCCTAATAAAAGTACTTTAACCTTACTTACTAAGTCCCATGATCCTCCAATTAGACGCCCTGCCACTCTAAACCCTATGAACCCTTGGCTTTGGCTTTGATGGTGATGGGTTCGGCTTCGGCGAAGGTTTTGCTTTTAACTACTGCACTCGCGCATCTTCCGCACGGAATGGAAAAGTGTGGCGAAGATGCAGAAGGGCACTGCGCGAAATTGCAGGCGGAAACAGATAACAACGTCCCCTGCTGCCAAAAGCTTTCTTGGGTTTTGCAGACTGTCACAGGGGGTTGAGAAGCACGTGCTGCTGGTGTCTGCGCTCGGAGAAATTAGCCGCCAAGAACATGCTAGCAGTGATCTTCCGGCGGGCTTGCACCGTGATCCGTTGGCCTTGGGCATGAGACTGCAAAGCCCAGAAGCCGCAACACCAAACGCTAACACGTGATACCCTAAGCCCGGCGAAGAACCTAAAAAGACAGGGTAAACCCTAAACCCTAAACAACTAGTGGGCTTTGAAGTTTATCGGGTATGCGTCCTTTCTTTGAAGGGTGGCAGGACGAGTTGCCTGAACCTAACAAAATTCAATTTCTATTCGGGTGTAGAGTAAGAACCTACAACAAAGTAGGAGTTTAAGGTAGGGCTACCGGCCCGCCCACCCCCAGAAAGAAGAACGAAGCCGTGATACGGCTGATGATATAAATCCTGCATACCCATAATAAGGAAATATGCCATAATTCCCATAGTTTGGGGTCCTGAAGTTAATCCAGGATTTCTATCATCAACCTAAACCCTAAACCCTAAAACCCTATAGATCCCTTAAAGGAACCCCTGAAAGGTGCTCTTATAGATCCCTTAAAAGGGACCCCAAGATTTCTATCATCAACCGTAGGAGCTTCGAAGATGGTGCGATCTGCAGCGAGAGGAGGGTTCGAGGCAGCGATTGGGACGGTGTTGGAGATAAGGCTACTTGGAGGAAGGGTTCCTTTAAAGGGATCTATAGGGATTCCTAATAAGGGTTCCTTTAAAGAGATCTATAAGGATTCTATAAGGGGGGGGGGCTAGGGCTACTTAAAGGGTCATGGGACTTAGTAACTAGGGTGATAGTTAAGGTAACTGTACTTTTCATCACTTATAATCGCAATCAGGGTACCTATAACCTTACTTAGGCTGCCGTCGTACTCCTCAGAGACTCCAATACCCCTGAATTGCGGAATATAAGTTAAACTATAATGGGATCCATAATATGATTTAAGGGATATTCTTTAATCAAGGAATATTGGAGTCTCTGGGTCATGTACTCATGTGGATGGTTGTCAAGATTATGGTCCCGTTTTGGGCCCTTATTTTAATGCGGCACCTAATATTTAGGGTACCCAAAAAGGGACCATAATTTTGACAACCACCCATGTGTACATTGACATACGTGTCGGTATGTGTATGTATGTGTATGTGTGTATGCATAGACGTATGGATGGATAGATGTAGTGTATGTGGGTATGATAAACAGCTAGGCATGTTGCTGCCGCAGACGTTGTAATCTTGTTAACCGCCACGATACTCGCAGCGAGAATGATTGCGATTAGGATTATGATTATGATGATGATGACGATGGTTGTGGCGATGGTGATGACGATTGTGAGATGCTGATGACGATGATGCCGACGGTGACGGTGATGCTGATGATCATCCCGTGATGTTGTTGACAATGATGGTGGCTAATCCAAGGGCCAAACGATAAGAAGCGTTTTGTTGTTGTTTTACTGAAGTTGTGTAAGTTAAGGGTTCGTACAGTCTCATATGTCATCAAGCCTGACTGCGCGTTAGCATAAACAAAAAGGCGATAAGCTCGAAGCCGAATCCACAAGACGAATCGTAGCCAACGGCCTATTATGGTCTAGTCACAGAGCCCACTGGCATTGAAACCCCAAACCCCAAACCAAAATTCTGAATCCTATAGTAAGCCTCTTGCAGTACTGCTAAACCTCCCTACTTAAAGGGTCATGGGACTTAGTAGCTAGGGTTTACAATGAAGGTAACTGTACTTATACTTATACTTACTTGTAACCCCAATTAAGGTACGTATAACCTTACTTACTAAGTCCCATGATCCTCCAAGTAGCACTTCAAGGATGCAGATGTTACGGAGGCTACTTCCCCAAATCATGTATAATAGTAGTTCCTAACATAGAAACCCTACATTCCACTATGGGTACTTTGGACCCTATGGGAAAGAGGGGCTTGAACGGTTTTGAGCTTATGGGGGTTAATCTAGGATTTGGTGCAAGGCTTTTTGGTCAGAGTTCGGCCAAGTTCGGAGTAAACTAGTTAGTGTATCCCGTTGCGGTCCCAACACATTGCAAGTATTCTATTGTGTACCGCAGGCCGCTGTATCAATGGATCATGCTTGGAAACCTTATACACACAAACCTCATCTGCCCCTAAACCCTCTCAGCCCTAAGCCACTCGACGCTATACCCTAACCTCACGTTATACCGAATAGCAGGATTGGGCCCCTTTTATAAATACCGGGTTTTGAAACAAGCAGAACACCGCCAGACGGCTCCCTACTCTTACAAGCCATCAGTTATACACCGTTGTTAGTTTTGTTCTGTTTCTAGATCCTTTGCCGCCTGGGTGAATCCAAAGCAAGAGCAATCCCCCGAACCCTACCCTAAACCCTTAAACCCTAGCGACGATTCCAGGACCGGTAGCATCCAGCCGCTTCGGGGACTGAAGGTTGGCTCTTGCGAATTGCTTTGTTCTTCAGCAATAGCTTGGGCTTTCTAGCAATGGCTTGGCTTTCTAGGTATTATGCAGGACTCGTAAGACTTTCACGGAGTCTATGGGCATTTGCACGGATTTGCAGGGGTTTTGGGCTATTAAGGGGGTGGGATGTGGGATTCAGGCTTTTGGGTCAAATGGTTTTCGCGACTCAGGGGCCTAGGGGCTTTGGGATTTGATGTGCTTTTTCTTTTTCGTCGGAAGGACGTATATACCTGTAGCCACAAAGACCTACCTTTTTGAGGATTCATATATATATATATATATATATATATATAGAAATCATACTAAAGAGCCCTCAAGAGGTAGGTCTTTTCGGCTACAGGTAGGCTTATAGGGTTCAAGGAGTTTGGCCGCAAATCATTGCAACCCCACAAACCGCAAGTGGCACAGGCCCTACAATGCCCGAGACCCTAAATCTTAAACCGTTCAGAGCTTTGGGGTTTGGTGGTTTAAGGTTTTGGGTCGACCCAATTCCGACCACAAAAACACATCCTACTTTCATACGACCGGAGACAGGTTTGTGTTTCAGCATCATAACTCAAACCCTAGCACGTTAGCTGAGGGTTATATTCATTTCAGATCATTTACGGCTTTCGGGGTGTATGGTTGAGGTGATCCACGGCGTTTCGGTGCCTGCAGGGTTGTCCCTTTGAGAAATCCCATGAATTTAAAGTACTGTTTTAAGGATTCCGATTTAATGGCTAAGGATAGGACCTGCTTATTTCCTTTCACCTGACAAGCTCTGAAACTACCGCACCACAGTTTTGCCCGACATGATGTTTTCTCCAACACCCAACCCTTAACGGGTTTAATCGTGCGAATCGGAAAGTTGAACCTTTAGTTCCATAGCCATAGAGTCCTTCAAGACGTCAGTAGGCTACGTTTTGGCTGCGGCCTTGTTGACGACATTGGCCCTGTCTGTGCGTGTGCAGTACACGGATGACGCCTACGACACCTTCGTTGACGCTGGAGCCTGAGAACTTGCATATTATGTCATCATAGGGATCCTTAGGGGTGTAGGGGGAGGGGGGGTAGGGGGCCTTAAGGCCCAAAATTTGGACTAATAAGGCCTATTTAAGGATATATAGTCCCCTACACCCCTCCCCCCTACACCCCTAAGGATCCCTATGAGAGAACTTGCATATTATGTCAGGTCCTTCTCATCCCCAGAGACTCCAATTTCCCTTGATTAAGGAATGTACCTTAAATTATAGTAGGATCCCAAATATGATTTATGGAATATTCCGAAATTAAGGGATATTGGAGTCTCTGGGTCTCGACTTTTAAAGTGCATAGAGCAACCGAAGTTCAAGACCGCCACAAAATCCTCCCCCCCAAGGCCCCAAGGTAGGGATTCTCGGGGCACTGACAGTCGGGTAGGTCTTGGCTCAAAGTACGCTGTGGGGACTCCAAGAGTTAGCACTTCTCACGCCAAACTCGCCACCGATACCCTGAGCCCAAACCTGGGCCCTGAAGTCCCAAAGCACCCTCTCGAAGCCCTGAACCATGTACAAGACCTCCTGGGCCTTGATCGTCTAGTGTACAGGTTGCTGTGAGCAGGCGTACAGACACCAAATGATGGAAAACACGCAAAATCTGCGCCTAACGCTCGAGACCCTTAAGCCCTAGGCCTAAATTCCTAAAGATCTAATGTGTCCAACTTAGGAGGAGGATCAGTGGACCTAGTCAGGTTATAAGTTATAAGTGGTGCACCTTAATAGCTGGGGTTATAAGCAGTCATAACCCAGTCCCCCGGGAGGATCTAGACAGTAGATCCCCTCATTTTCTGCCCTTTCTTACTCAGGGTACTTTACAGGAATCCCCATAAAAGAGATCTACTTTTTGGATCCTCCCGGGGGTCTGGGAAGTATAGTTACCCATATTATCTAAGTAACTGCTTTGAATAGCTGGAGGTCCTCGCCTCGAAAAGCGGCTTCGTTGAGTTTGACGAGAATCTTTTCATTGGTCGAGTTCTTCAGGACCTGTTTCTAGGGTTTTTATAATGAACTATAGTTGTAGTGTAGGGTTAGTGCTGCCAGTTCTCACAGGCTTGTGTATAGTTTTTGTATAAACGTGTAGGTATCATCAGCCCAGTTAGGACCCCCTTTCGAGCCACTTCTAAGTCTAAGACTACTCAGTACCTGCTTACTAAGTCCCCTGACCCTTCCTGGGAAGGTTGTGTAGCATGAAGGATCCGCTTCTTTGAGGACTTCGGGTCTACAGTTTCTTCAAGTGTGCAACGCATACTACGTGACTAGTACTATGACCTAGAGTAGGCCCTTATACGCTTTTTTAGTTCCCTTGTAACCCCCTTTTGGACCCTCAGGGTTTAGTCTTTACTAGTTCGGGCTATGCGTGCCAGGATTCAGGTTTTGGAAGTTAGGCGCTTCACTGTCGACGCTGCTAGAGCCCGTCCCGTGGGAAGCCTACTCAGTTGGCCAAACTCCTCTTCATCTTTCAAAGGGTTTAGGGTTCAGGCTTTCATCCCATACCCTCTACAGCTCTACTGCGACATCATGTTGCGGAAGCAGTAGAAAGGGTCCTATTTACCTATGTGGTGGAATGTAGGGTTTCTACATTACGGATACCTATTGTGATATTGATTTTGGGAAGTATCCCCCATAACCGTACCTAGGATCCTTTGGGTCTAGATCCTACCGGGCAAATTACCCCGGTGAGGCCGGGAAAAGTCGCTCAGGACGAGAATGACCATGCATACTTCTCTCTCCACAGTCCGGAACAATCACAGCCCTCCCACAGCTCCAACCACACCCCCCACATCCGTAATGAACCCTAAACCCCGAAAGCCTAAAGCCCTAGACCCTATTGTAGACTATGGTAGAAGCCCAAAAGTTGGAAACCCAATAGCTTCAATCCTTAAGAGTCCCAGCACTAGTTGGCCTTAATCCGGTTTCCAAGTTTATGGAGTTTACTGTATGACTATATCGCACGGGCCCAGACCCATAACACCAAAGCCCTCACAGCAGGCCGCCAGTCTCGCACAGTAGGCTGTGACATCGGTTTAGGAGCTATGGTTTAGAGAGTTTGGGCTTTAGGGTATAAGGGTCTTAAAGTCTGCTTCAGAGTCTTAGAGTAACACTGCAAGCATCTTTTTTTGTAGTGCCCCTTGAAGCTACCATCTAAGTCCTAAGTCCCAAACTAGGTGTCAATTCGGGAAAATGTACAATTCCCTGTGTTAAAATAGAGCCCTAATTATACATTGTTTTGGGGATTGTTGAAATCGACACCGAGTAAACGGTTTGGGACTGTATCCGAAATCACTGATTATAGCTTAGTGCCTTTTTTGTGGGCATATCTGAAGATCTGGGTAATTGGGTTAACTGTTTTGGTATGTACAGTTTTAGGTTTGCGTTGTAAGGGCTTGGGGATTTAGTGTCTGTGGCTTGTTCCTTAGCCTCGAACCCAAAGCCCCAAACCCTAAACCCCTAAACCCTAAACCCTATCTAACCCTTATAGATCCCTTAGGGAACCCCTTCAAGCGCCTTGTGAACTTACTAAGTCCCCCGACTCTCCAAGTAGCCATAAACCCAGAGACTCCAATATCCCTCAATTAAGCAATCTTCCTTAAATCACATCAGGGATCCTACTATAATTTAAGGTACATTCCTTAATTAAGGGATATTGGAGTCTCTAGGAAGAACCCCTGAAGCTCGAGACGGCGAGGACCACTGTCTACTCCGAGTGTCGCCCAACCAGAGCAGTGAGGAAGATCACGAAGACGATGCCCCTCGAAAGGAGTTTGGCAAGTTTACCTCGGTTTGGAGTACCATGTCGTTAGACATGGCTGTTGGAGCTGTTCCTTTCAGGAACCATTATGCCTAGGGACTCCAATATCCCTTAGTAAAGGAATATTCTTTAAATTATAGTAGGACCCCTAATAGGGTTTAAGGTATCTTCCTTAATTAAGGCGCGCGCGCCTAAAAAAAACCACCGTGAAGACAAAACCTACAGAGGAGCGGCCGAGGGAAGTGTACAAAAGTGTGGCAGGCGCAGCAAAATCGCACGTTTTGACCTTCCCCAGCGGTATTGTGGCAGAAGCAAAAACGGGACACGATTTCGTGTCCAGTTTTCTGGGCGCCCTAGGCGACCATCAGTGCTATCATCATCGATGTCAACATCGCTATCATCCTCACAGCCACCATCGATATCACCATCATCTTCATCATTCTCATCATCATCGTTATCATCATCGTCATCAATGTGTTGAGCAGTGGGCTTTTTGTGTGCTGGGAAAAGCCGGCCTGAATTTATTCTCCGGACCTGGGCTGCAAAGCTAGTCTTACGGCAGAAGGCGAAAACACTGGTGGGGCCGATGACTTTGAAGGTCGCGGCAAGTTTGTTGAGGTTTGTGGGTGGAAAAGGTATGGGGCAAAAGGTCTTTGCACAGTCACCTTTGCCAGATCGCTAGGTCATCATCATTGCTACCATGATTGTTATCATCATCGTCATCATCATCGTTATCATCATCGCCATCGCCATCGATATCATCGTGACCATCGTAATTGTAATCATCATCGTTGTCTTCCTCGTCGTCAACATTTCGAGCGGTAGTTTTTTTTAGGCGCGCAAGCCTTAATTCAGGGATCCCTGGAGTCTCTGGGTGAATCACAAGTTTTGTTTTTCTCCCCGGTTTCTTCAAAGCCCCGGTTGAGGGTGCGGTTCAGGGTGTCGGATCTAGGGGCTCATGGTATATACTGGGAGGGTCGGGGGACTTAGTAAGTAGTTATGGTAGAGACTTGTTATAAGTACCATAACCCCTATTAGGGTCCCTTTCAAGGCACTTATAAGTCTACTTATAACCTACTTACTAAGTCCCCCGACCCTCCAAGTAGGTGATGCCAGGAGTTGGGAGGTGGACCTACTACCCTAGGCGGGTCCCAACACTTTGGGGAACCTCAAAATGTAGGATTCCTGAAGCCCCAACGAGACCCAAGGGCTCTCCCCAGGAGATTCCGGACCCTCCTAAGGAGATACCTGGACCCTTAGGGTAGGTAGTTCATGAGACTTAGAAAGTACGGTTTTACACACCTTACGTTACCTGGACTTAAATCAGAATGTTTCTTTACAGTCATCTTGTGTGTACTTACAACTCTTGTACGATCTTCAGCGGTTTGTTGGATTCGGGCTTCAGTTGCGGGACATGCAGCATGCGACATCACCATGAATGCTTATACTGGACAAACCGAGGACCCGTATACACCCTGATCGGCATCCACGGATTTGATTCCATGCCCGAAGCCACCAAACCTCATCTCGTAAACTCTTTCAGCCACCCTGTAAACCCGTCAACCCCTTAGCCTTAGCTTCAACCCCGAAACACACCCCAAACCATCCTGGAACGTGAACCTAAATCCCAAACCTTGGATCCTAAACCCTAAACCTCTAAACCCTAAACCCGAAACCTCTAAACCCAAGGGCACCGTGGTCCAGTTCTTCAACCCTTTCGATTGGATGCCAGGGCCTCTTTGGGCTCAGAGTCTAGGATTTCAGGGCTTTAGGGCTCAGGGAGCTCTTTGTGGCCTTGCGTTTTGGAACTTCATCTACTAGATATCGATGTGGGTGGTTGTCAAAATTATGGCCCCTTTTTGGGTACACTAAACAATGGGTGCCGTGCCGTATTATAATAGGGATCCAAAAAGGGACCATCATTTTGGCAACCATCCATGTGGGATAATGTTTGATGTTCCCATACTGTTTAACTAGGATGCCCAGTAGTACCCTTATTCCTTTTTTGTAGTCCTAGGTTCCTTATAAAGTTACCCAATACCAAAAAGAGAGGCCTTTTTATTCTTAGGTTACTGGGTATCCTAGTTTAATATGGAGCTCCCAATTACTGCTAGGGTGGGATTTCGGCTCCAGGGCCTAGGGGACCCTATACCCTGAACTTAGGGGTACTTAGAAACAACTTTTAATATTTGGTTATTATAATCCCTAAGAAACAGCTAAAATTATAATTTTTGCTAGGGTTCTAAGTTCAATACCCTAAACCTTGAAGAGCAACGCTTGAGTTCAACGAGTGTGAGCCTCAGGGCGTTTTCGGAGCCCTAAGGGTCCATTGCACAGTATACACTTTGACCCAAACCCGAACCCGTACCCCTATAGATCCCCGAAAGGGACCCTTAACCCCCTACTTAAGGGTCTAGAATGCATCGACCTTCGTGAGGTCAATGCATTTGCTTGGGGTACCATGGACCCTTGCTTGAAGGGTCGGTTTAGAGTTTAGGGTTTAGGGTTTAGGGGGTCCGGGGAAGTAGTGCGTAGTTATCTTCTAGACTTACAAGTAACATGACCTCAGTAGGGCCACTTTGAGGGTACTTACAAGTCTACTTACTACCTACTTGCTAAGTCCCCCCACCCTCCAAGACTCCTTGTAGACTTATAGAGATGCCTTTAAAGCTACCCTTATAAGGAACCCCTATAGATCCCTTTAAAGGAACCCAAACATCCTCTTCAGGGTTCTACTAAGGCCTTAGAGGAACTTTGATGGACTGCTCAAACGATCCTGGGACATGTTGCAACTCATATAGGGGCCTTGATAATTACCTGTACTGTTTTGGTGTTTCCTGACTATAATTATACGTAGTGTAATGGGCCCCCCAAAGCCCTATTCTAATCATGAAGGCCGCTATAACCAACATGTAGTACCTAGTGCTATTTCGCACAAGCAAGGTCCGTATAACCGTCTGTCTACTACGTCCCATGATCCTCCAACTAGCGTCCTGAGGGTCCAACAGAGCAAATCAAAACAGGAAGCCCTAGATAATCTCTAAGCCCGCCTCGGGGGTCTGGAGAAGCTTGTTTCGGGATTGGGGCTGCAGGGATTAGATGCCCGAAAATCCTAAAGCACTATCCCTACCACCGCAAGCAGCCCGAATTAGATACTGCTTCAAGAGTTTTGACCACGCAGTGAGTGTTGTTTGAAGACTTTCGACCCCAGTGTAGGAATTCAACCCTACGGCCTGAACATGAAATAGATATGCTCCTATACCCTAAAATCTAAACCCCAAACGCTAAACCCTAAGCCCTATACCCTAAACCTTAAACCCTAAACTCTAAACTCTAAACTCTAAACCCTACACCCTAAACCCTGAACTCTGGACCGTGGTCTTCGGGTAATTATGGAAATTACCCTTCGCCTTCCCCCCAGTGCGGGCGATGCACGGCGTTTGGGAGAAATCTTCGACGCATCTTGGTATGCACTATAAGGGCATATGGGAGTTTCCGAAAATTGAGGGGTACCTTGTTTGAGGGTCCTTACAATAAGGATCCTACTATTTAGGGTGCTATGCTAGGGTCCCCGATTCTCGGAAACTCCCATATAAAGCTTAGGGTTTACTTGGTTTCATATGAAGACCCTACTTAAAGGGTCAATGGACTCAGTACCTACGGCTATAATTAAGGTAACTATACTCATAATTGCTTATAGCCCCAGTTAAAGTACTCATAGCCTTACATACTAAGTCCCATGATCCTCCAAGTAAAGGTGTGAGCTGGGCCTCTGGGGTTCGAGCTAGCGCCGCGGGTTGAGGATTTGAGATTCAGGCTTGGTGTCCTAAGCTCCTCAACTCAAGCTTACTGCCAAATCTGGCCTGAACCCTAAAGCCCTAAACACTAAACCCCATACCCGCAACCCTAGCTACGCCCTAAACCCTAAAGCCCCATACCCTAAACCCTAAACCCGAACACTCCAAACCCTACACTCTGTGGGGTTTGACGTTGAGCTCCCAGGACCCAGAGTAAGCCCTTCTTCCCTTTGTTTAGGGTTGAGGTTCCCACATAATAGAGGAGCCTATAAATAATTGCCAATACTATTTTGGAGGTTCCTTATCACAATTATAGTGTCGCGGTCCCTAAAACCCTATTCTAACTATTAAGGCCTCTGCATTAATCTCCTTTAAACCAACCAGGGCACATTTTTTCCTAGGTTCCTCTCGGGTCTAGGCTCTATATCGGTCTCCAGGATTTGCGGGGTTAGGAATTTAGTCGGGTTTAGGGTTTTAGGGGTTTAGGGGTTTTAGGGGTTTAGGGCTTTCTGGTGGAGAGCAGAGGGTTTGTTCAACGCTTGGCGCTTACCCGGACCCTAAGACACCTACCCTCTTCAGGATTCCTTACTGGGAGGGTCGGGGGACTTAGTAGAACCCTAAAGAGGATATATGAGTTCCTTTAAAGAGATCTATAGGGGTTCCTTGTAAGGGTACCTTTAAAAGGATCTAGAAGGGGTCCTGGAGGGTCGGGGGACGGAGTAAGTAGGTAATAAGTAGAGTTATATGTGCCCTAATCGGGACCTTAAGTGGGTTTATGAGACTAATGGTCCGAAAGTAATTCTTCATTACTATGTCCCCCGACCCCCCAAGTAATCTCAGTTCATATGATTTCCTTTTGCAAGTACTACTTGCCTGCTTCCTAAGTCCCCAAACTCCCCAAGTAAGACACCTACCTTTTCGGGATTCCGTAACATGAGTTCTTTGTAATCATTGAAGAGTACTTTTCAAAGGCATAAAAGGGCCAGCCTAGCTGCTAGCCAGATAACCCCGAAACCCTAATTCCTGGATCTCAGGACCGCTTCTGGCCTCGCCTTTGTTGTGGGCCAGGCTACGACAAGGCGCCTGAAGTTGACGGTCAACGGTTGGTTTGCGGGTCCAGGTCTCGTTATGACCTAGAGGCTCCACATATAGTACCATATGGAATTAAGTCCTTTAAACCCTGATAAGGATGGTCTTTTGGGGCCTAATTCCATAATGGTACTATATTTGGAGCCCCTAGGTATGAGTTTCAGTTTAAGGTAGTTCACAGTGTAGGGATGAGGTTTTAGGGTTTAGGATCCATGTAGGTTTCTATAGGTTTCAGGGTTCTGAATAGTTTGGGTTTTGGGCCAGGCAGCGACAGGCAGGTCAAGGCACAGCCACCTTCGGTTGTTCAAGTTGTTTTCGCCGGCGATACAATAACTCGGTACTATATATGTGTTCTTCTCTTGGCTGGACTGTAGATGTTTGTAAAGCGTTCTCTGAATCTTAAGCCCATAAACCCTCAAACCTTGAACACCAAAGCCCTTGAACCGCTGAACCTTCAACCCCTGAGGTTCTGAACCCTCCCGAACCCTGAACCCCAATCCTAATACCCTACGAACAAGCCCTAAACCCTAAACCCTAAACCTAAGCGCCATATAGGTTCTGGAGCATAGGGGTTTGCGGGAGGAGGGCTTAGCTCTTTGATTAGGGGGGGGTCATAGCAGTTGAAGCGGCTTCGCAGGAAAATGGTCAGCTTCACAGCGACATAACAACAATTGGGTGCCTGGGTTTGGGAGAGTGTTAGCATGAGTTTGTGTTTTCTGGTGTGTGCAATGAACATGTCGTACTCGGATCCTTAAAGTATGTTTTGAGCTTCTGTATGACCATAAAGTGATATATCATGGCACCCTGAGCTAAGCTAGTTCTTAATTATATACCTTCTATTCTGCCCCTCGGCCCATTTGCTCCCGAAGACCAAGCCCAAAACCCCAAGCTCCCAACATCCCCACCTGGCTGAGACGGTTTCCTTGCTGTGTCGGCTCCGGGCTCCTCTCGGGGACTTCCTCATTAGCCTCTTCCTCTGCTTGTATCCCAAAAGCTCCATGTACCTTTATAGTACATACTTAAGCCTTAAAGGGGTCCCTATATAGGTACTTTAAGGCCTAAGTATACACTATATGGGTACATGGAGCCTTAGGGTATATACGTAACTATGTACTCACGTAGTGACAGATGCAGTTCTCCCTCGAGTTGCGTTCTGCTACGTAAGGTCCGCAAGCGACCCCGGCCATCACCATCACCCCGGCCATCTGCGTCGCCTGCGGCCTTGCGTCGCTCCACGGATTCCTGGAGCTGCACTCACTGCGGCGTGGAAAATCCTTCCCACAGAGTCGCGTGCGGTGCTTGCTTCCAGATGACACCGGGAAAAATGGCGAAGATGGCGCCCCGGAGCGGGGTGGCTGGAAACTGGGTCTGTGCACAGTCATGACCTTCGGGTTATCGCTGGGCGGCCTTCCATGGTGGGCGGAGACACTCCCCGTCCTACAGTGGCTCCGTCGAGGTGGCTCTCCCGAGCCAGAGTCAGTGCAGTGGCTTCCAGTTCGGCATGATGCCACTTTATGCTCTGTGGTGTTGCACTATGGTACAGCAGAGAAACGAGATGTGGCCTTGAGGATGGGGTTGGGGTTCTGTGAACCGGTTTCTCAGAAGTTTTGGGAAGAACACCTCAACCTTGGATACTGCCCCCCCACTCACTAAAAGCTGAATAACTAATTATTCAAATATATACACACATACAAGACTCTTGTTAGATGGTTACTTGATGGGGCAGTAACCAACCTAAACCCTAAGCATTCGCATCACGTGAAGGAGCAGAAGCTCGAAGACTTGCCGCACATTCCGGCCCAGGCAGAGCAATAAGGGGCGTTCTGTAGGGTTTTTCCCGGGCTTCATGGGGCAATAATGTATGCAGCAATAATACCTATACCGTACTCTAGACCCTGAACCCCCAACCCCAAACATAAGGACATAAGGATGTCAGAAGGGCTTTACACAAGTCTTGAGGTCCTTGTACCGACCCGACAATCTGAGAAGTCATATTTTTGAGGCTTGTGAGCCCAAAGACTTTTCTGCAAAAAAGGCATGTTTTCATGCATCGTTACCTGCATTTCTGCTGTCCTACGCCCCCGTGTGCCCAGTTATTCGGTCTTTGGGACATGTAGGCACCAGCGTGGCATCTGGCAACCTCAGCCGTGCCTGGCCAACAGGCATTCATTCACCCAAGCGCCGCCACCTCCGATCCAGCAATCTAGTTCCGTTTTGGGATAGCTAGGATCCCAGACGTAAAATTTGTTGCTGGTTAACCACAAGCTGGCAATACGTGAAGCCGAAACTCTAAACACCGAACCCTGCTTCCCATCACGCGAACTCGCCTAGGCGCCCCAACATACCTCTAGTATACCCGACATACCCTTGTACCCAGCTGTTGCCCCTTATAGCAGCGGAACCCTTGAAGAGAACCCTACTCTATTACCCCATAGTACCCTTAAAGTGAGCCGTACCATAGAACCTTAGAGGCACCTACTTAAAGACTTAATAAGTACGTAGGTTATAAGTAGACTTATAAGTGCCTTAAAAGGGACCCTATTGGAATGACGGTTCTTATAAGTCTTTACGAGTAGCTAGTTACTAAGTCCCCCGACCCTCCAAGTAGGGGGCTCCTGACGCAGGATGCAGCTGCCCTCTCGAACCAGGAAGTCGACCGCCTGGTCTGCACCTGTCTCAGCAATTGAGCTGAGGATGTCGACTTCGTTACGATTTATTATAGGGTTTACTTACAGGGTCATGGGACTTAGTAACCAGAGTTATAATTAAGGTAAGTATACTTATACCTACTCATACCCCCCAACTAATATACTTATGACCTTACGTAATAAGTCCCATGATCCTCCAAGTAGGGCTTTGGGTTTAGGCTTTTTGGGGTTTAAGGTCCGGGGATAAGGGCTGACCAAATGCTGTGATGCGGTTTAAATCTCAAGTTGGCTTCAAGGTTCAGGTGCTAATTGGGCCCAATGCGAGTGACACCGCTTAACTCAGGAGCAGTCTTTAAACATATGAGCCCTGCAGCTATGAATCCTTATAAAATATTTTCTGGAAAGCACAACACCCCAGTTTGCTGGAGTCTTTATTGCTGTCAGCATCATACCATTTCTGAAGGGTACATTGGATACAGCAAATAAGGGCGCAGGGCTCAATGTCTTGAGGATACTTGGAGGGTCGGGGGATTTAGTAACTAGGTAGTAAGTAGACTTATAAGTATCCTAATAGGGACCCGAAATAGGGGTTACGATACTTATAAGTCTCTAAAATAACTATTTACTGCGGGTCATGATAGTTCCGGGGTCTTCGGAGCTCGAATTTCGAGCACCCCAAACCCCGGGTTTTATGGTTTAGGGCTTACTTAAAGGTTTAGTAAGGCTATAAGTGCCTTGATTGGGGCCATAAGTAGCTATAAGTGTAGTTACCTTAATTACATCCCTAGTTACCAGCCCTGAACCCGATTTTCCTACCCCCAGAACTCCGACGGCCAAATAGAGAAAAGGACTCCAGAGTCCAGCCCTTCCCCACTTGGAGGGTCCGGGGGACTTAGTAGCTGGTTGTTGAAGGGACTTATAAGTACCATAACCCCAATTAGGGTGCCTTTTAGGGTACTTAAAACCCTACTTACTACCTACTTACTAAGTCCTCCGACCCTCCAAGCAAGTCATGCCCATGACCAGGGTCTTAGGGTTTAGGGCTTACTTAAAGGGTCATGGGACTTAGCAGCCTTTAAAGGGTACTCTAGGGTTTAGGGTAGGGTTCCCTTTAAGGGTTTGGTGTTTAGGGTCTACTTAAAGGGTCATGGGACTTAGTGACTTAGTAACTAGGGTTATAATTAAGGTAACTGCACTTATAGCTACTTCGAGCCCCAGTTAAGGCACTTCTAACCTTACTTACTAAGTCCCATGATCCTCCAAGTAGGGTTGAGAAAGCTTCGCAATACCTACATCCTCAGCTATCAGACAAACTTGAACCGGCACCTGCAACCGATCGCCGGGAAGGGTGGAAGATGACACGGAAGCAAGTGTTCTGGGGATTGCGATTCTCGGGTTTCGGGTGTTTCAGGGCCTGTTGAGTATGGACGGTGGGGTTCTGCAGTCCGGTTTTCTACAAGAGTCTTACTGGAATCTAACATGAGATTTTCCGAAAATTAGGGGTACCTTCTTTTTGGGGTCCTTACAATAAGGATCCTACTATTCAGGGCACTATATGAGGGTCCCCTCTTTTCGGAAACTCCCTACTTGTTTTTAATATCCAAGCAGGGCAGCGTCATGTCGAACCCTTTCGCAATGCTCTGTCGCCAGCCGGGCTGTAAGTTGCAGATGCACAGGCAGTTAGGCTGTAGTGGGATTTTCGCATGATTTCATCGTTGATAACCGCACATTCTGCAAAGAACCGTTGTCCAAGCCAAGGGACATGTCTTTCGATGGCTGGTGCTGCAAAAGAAGCAGAGCTGACAAAGGACGTGCGCACCCTGAACACAAAACTCTCGTCTCGACGACCTGACTGGGAATCCACTTGAGGAAGCACAAGCTGTCGTCCAGGATTTCGAGACTCCTACAGTGGAAGCTTCTGTTTAGCCTCGACAACTTCTTTCGGTCGCCTCGGGCGAAGTGCTCCGCCAAACCAGAGGGGGAGACCCTAAACCCCAAACCCTAAACCCTAAACCCTAAGCCCTAAACCAGAGGGGGAGACGAGTGCCTCGCCTCAGTCGAGGCCCACTCTGAGAAGGCAGCAGCTCAGGGACGTCGAAACCCGTAAACAACCCTAAATCCTAAAGCCTAAACCCCTGAATTTCTGAATCCTAAAGCCCCAAACCCTAAACCCCTAAACCCCTAAACCCCTAAACCTTTAATTTAAGCCGGTACTCATCATTGAGCAGCTCGCGGAGCACAAGTTGATGCCTCGGGCCGACCTTGTGGTCGTCAGGAGCTTTGGCCCCAAAGGGTCCTAAACCCTTAGCTTCCGTTTTAAGGGTTACTAGGACCCAGAGTAGGCCCCTATTCCCTTTTTTGAGGCTTAGGTTCCCTTATAAACCCCTTTAAACCAAAAAGGGCACCCTTTTTATTCCTAGGTTACTCTTAGGTCTAGGTTACTATAATGATGGTTTGGGGTCTGAGGCTTAGGGTGCCTTGATGGTAGAATGTAGGATTAATAACTAGTATGATTTGGGCAGCACAGTACCTAACACCCTTTGGGGTCGTGTGGGCCTAAACCGAGCGCTTCCGCTCCGCTAGGTTCCCCGCATGCCTCATGCACGAGTTGTCATTTAATGAATTTGGGCCCAGAACTGAGGTGCTTGGGTTTAGGATGGTCGTAGTATAGTTTACCGCTGGGAGAGTGTATAGCGAGTAACTTAACAGACCGCCTTAGTGCATTCGGGCCTGACCTGATGAGGTTCAGGTGTGATTAGCGTTTCGGGTTTAGGGTTTGGGATTTAGGGTTTAGGGTGTTTAAGGTTTAGGGGTGTAGCTGTTTAGGGTTTCGGCTTGTCTTCGTCAGGCAAGGTGCTTCAGTGGCTGGACGCGAAAGAGAGATTTGCCATCTCGACGCGCTTGGGCTTTTAGTGTTTGGTTTTAGGCTGGTGGGGCCCCAAACACTTACTGCCTTCATTAGGCGCCTCCGATTTCTAACCTCCGATTTCTACGAGGTCCCCCAATCTCAGCTAGATTTCTTCGATTCTTCAGCTCAAACTTCTGAATCCCAGACAAAACCGGCATGTGCTGTTTACTTGTAGCATCCATTGTAGTTCTTTTTTGTTCCACAAGCTTTCTATTTAGGATCCTATAAGGCATTATGGACTGTAATATAGCTAAATAGTCAATGGTAGACGGTTTGGGGTTTAGGGCCCTTGGAAGCAGCATACTCGCTGCTCTATTCGGCAACTTAAATATGAATATATACATTTCATTTCTGGAATTAAGTATGTATTTGTCTTATATCTTAACATATTGCCTGCTTCCTTTCTTGTTTCTAAGACCCTAAACCAAACCCTAAACCCTAAACCCTAAACCAACGGTCGTGTCAGTTTGGGGGCGCTGAAAACTCGGAGCCTTGAGCTCCCAAGAGCTCTTGTCCCTTGAGCCGCCCAGCCTAGACCCCTCAACTGCCCTCTATTACCCAGAGAGCCCAATACCCCTTAATTAAGGAATATAGCTTAACCATAATGTGAAGCCCTATATAATGTAAGCCATATTCCTTAATTACGGGGTATTGATACCCACGATGAAGGGCCATAAGAGCTCCATTAAAGGGCCCTTTGGGGGGTCCTGGAGATGGGGCTTAGGGTTTGGGGCTTAGGGTTTAAGGCTTGGGGTTTGGGGCAGTTTAGGGTTCAGGGGAAGGCAGAATTCCCCGAGTCTTTCAAGAGGCTAGGACCCAGAGTAGGCCCTTATTCCTTTTTCAGGGTTCAGGTTCCATTATAATCCCCTTGAAACCAAAAAGGGCACCCTTTTTATTCCTAGGTTACTCTTTGTTCTAGGAGGCTTAGACTCGCTACACACGATACCATGACCCCAGCCCGTATCACAGCATTGAGACAGGGCAGCCGTGAGACGCTGCTTCTGGCATTATATAATGGAAGCGTACTATTCATCCCTAAACAAGCACTATGATTGCTAGAATAAACCTATTACAACGCTTCACAATTAATTTGTTTTTTGTCGTTCCAGGCAGCATGAGAGTGTACCTTTGTACCGTCGACATTGTCATTGGAGATTATCTCGGGTTTGAAGCTTGAAATTCAGTTTCGCAAAGGGCTCTGCAGGGCTGAAGGTTTAACTTTGAGTACGGCGGTGACCAGAGACAAGATTCTACACGGATCCTTGTTCAAAGGGTCCAAGTATCATTATGGTCTATACTTATAGGGTATTTTGGGGGTCTGAGTATATACCATAATGATACTTGGACCCTTTGGGTTGTTCAATGATTTATGGGTTTTTAAGTTTCTTTGTTCAGCTTGAGCCGGTAAACCTTAAATTCCTCAGCCCTGATGCTCACAGGGCGGGGAAGGAAGCATAAGCAGCAACAGAGTGTTTGTAGGGGGGCCCCGAAATGAAGAACAGACAGACCTTAAACCCTAAACCCTTACTCCAAACCCGAATAAGGTGTCTCCTCTGAGAGCTTCCTACTAAAGGAAAGGGCCATTGCATTTCCTTCGAACCCTGAGCTGAGGATACAGGGTTTAGGGTTTGGGTTCCGTCAACCACCCCACAACCTAAATCCTAAAGCCTCTAAATTTTCTAAAGCCTGAAGATACTGGTACGACCACTTCAACTTCAATGTTTCTCAACAAGAAAGCACCCGCACCTGCCAGATCGAGCATTCGCAACCTCGTGCCACGCAGCCCCTTCCCCCGGCAAAGCTTTTCGCCGCTCGTGCTGTAAAGGGCCATGGTACTTAGTAACTAGGGTTGAATTTAAGGTTAACTATATTATCATGACTTGTAACCCAAATTAAGGTGCTTATAACCTTACTGACTAAGTCCCATGATCCTCCAAGTGCATTCCGTGTCGGGCTCGGGCCTTTGGGTAGGATTCGGGTTTTATGACTGGAGTGTTCACGGTTCCGGGCGTTAGGTTATGTTTTTGTCTGGCATTTATGGTTTGATGGCTTTAGGTTTGAGGCTTCGGACGTTGCGGCTGAGGCTTCAGAAGCCGTTGAAATTCTTAGTGTTTGGAGTTGTGCTTTTTTACTTCAATCCCCCTCCACCCCGTCTTCTAGAATGTGACTGACTCCTAAATCTTGCTTTGAGGGTCGCGGAACTTAGTAAGTAGTTATGTTAAGGACTCATAAGTATCACATCCTTAGTTCTACTATTTGCTTAAGAACCCCCAAAAAATAAAAAAATATATTCCTTATAGGGATAATATAGGGATTATTATTTTTATTTTTTTGGGGGGTTCTTAAGCAAATAGTAGGGAGTCCCATTTAGGGTCCTTATAAGTCTACCTCTTACCCACCCACTAAGTCCCCCCTGACCCTCCAAGACCCTCCAAGACCCCATATAGATCCCTTTCACGGTACCCTGATATGGAACCCCTATAGATCCCTTTAAAGGAACCCAGGCATCCTCTTTAGGGTTCTACTAAGTCCCCCCCCCCCCCTCTCAAGGTACCCTCATAAGGAACCCCTAGAGATCCCTTTAAAGGAACCCCCCCCTTTCAAGGCACCCTCATAAGGAGCCCCTAGAGATCCCTTTAAAGGAACCCCCCCCTTTCAAGGCACCCTCATAAGGAGCCCCTAGAGATCCCTTTAAAGGAACCCCCCCCTTTCAAGGCACCCTCATAAGGAGCCCCTAGAGATCCCTTTAAAGGAACCCAAAGATCCCCTGGTCCCCCGACCCTCCTGGTACTTGGAGGGTCGTAAAGTAGTTGTTTTAGAGCCTTATAAGTACCATAACCCCAAAGAGGGTCCCTTTTAAGGCACTTATAAGTCTACTTATAACCTACTTACTAAGTCCCCCGACCCTCCTGCTCCAGGGTTTCCGGCTCCGGTTCGGTTTCAAGGCTTAACTTTTAGGGTTTAGGGTTGAGGGTTTAGGGTTTAGGGTTTAGGGTACAAACCCTAGGGTTTAGGGTTTAGGGTTTCTAAACCCTAAACCCTCAACCCTAAACCCCTAAACCCTAAACCCTAAACCGGTAGCATTAGTACCCAGAACCCCCAAAAGGGTCTAGAAAGTAGAGATCCCCTCAATTTGGGGCCTTATACTACTAAGGGTACTTTATAGGAAGCCCCATTGGGGGATCCACCTTTTGGATCCTCCCGGGGGTGTCTGGGTAAGGACCATCAGGCCTCTATCAAAGGGTAGTTTTGGAGGGGGGGGGGGTTAGGGTTTAGGGTTTAGGGTTTAGGGGTTTAGGGGTTTAGGGTTTAGGGGTTTAGGGGTTTAGGGTTTAGGGGTTAGGGGTTAGGGTTTAGGGTTTAGGGTTAAAGGTTTTGGTTTCTGTTGCCTAAAAGTAGCTGAGTCGGTGCAGGTCTTACCCCAAGGCTATGTGACTATGTAGCATAGACTTAGGTTCTAAAGTATCGAACTACGGGAAGTTTTACATAAGTACATGGAGCCTTATATACCCTTGTCCTTTACCTGCAAAGGAGCCCGTGCAACAACCCTGTAAGAGAATCGATTCAAGGTACACGTAGCCATATAGCGCTACATCCTAGTATCAAGACCTGGGGCTCGCGGGCTGCGTTTGAATTTCAGGGTAGTTTAAGGGTTAAGTAGAAGAGTTCGATGAGGGATTTCTGCATCAGGACTACGAGTTTAGGATTTTATGGTTTGGAGACTTCCAGGATCGAGGATAGCGTGTGTAATGCTTCCAAGTTTGGGGTTTCGGGTGTAGGCTGGGTTCTCCGAGCATCCAACTGCCCAGGTGCCTTCTAAGCTAGAGATGCCAGGGTCTGCCACATGCATGCATGCATGCATGCATGTATGTATGCATGCAAGTTTACAAGTGTTTGTAACCGCCAGCATCAACATCATCACTCTCATCTGTCATCGTCATCTTATTCGAGAGCCACAGAAACCCTGATAACGCCGGGACAACCTTTGCGTCACCTTTATAGCACCCAATGAGGACCGGCAACATGCCTTCATTTTCCCAAGGAGCAGTTCTTCAACAGCCTAACCCTTATAGCACCAACACCCCTCAAGCCCCATAAACCTGGTTTTCTGAAGAACTCCTTCATAAACCCATCTACAGCCATCATAAAGCCTTAACCTGAATGGATCCTAACATCCTGAAGCCTGATCTCTTTTTTCCGAGGAGAAGTTCTTCCAGATCCCGAAAGTGGCAGCAGACCCAGAGACGCCCAGGAGGTTTAGAGGGAATAGGAACCCCTTCAGGGGTTCATCAGGGTTCATTAGGGTTCGCAAGGGTTCGCTCGGTTCTAGGGTTTGGGGTTCGTTGGGGTTCTTTAGGGTTCATCAGGGTGCATTAGGGTTCATTAAGCTTCGCTAGGGTTCGTTAGGGTTCATTAGGGTTCATCAGGGTTCATTAGGGTTCATTGGGGTTCGCGTTAGGATTCATTAGGGTTCATTAGGGTTCGCTAGGGTTCGCTAGGGTTCACTAAGCTTTAGGGTTTGCGGGTTCGTTAGGGTTCATTAGGGTGTACTTGGAGGGTCGAGGGACTTGGTAATTAGCTATTTTGGAGACTTATAAGTATCATAACCCCAAATAGGGTCCCTTTTAAGGCACTTATAAGTCTACTTATAACCTACTTACTAAGTCCCCCGACCCTCCAAGTAGGGTTTAAGGTGTAGCGGATTTTTATAGGGAATCCTTCCAAGCCTCAGCAGTTTTCGGAGCTTTCAGAGCCCTTTTTTGCTCTGGGCTTAAGGTTTAAGGTTTAGGGTTGTGCAGCTGTGCATGCCTGTGAAGCCCTGTTTTTTGGTGGAGGGTTTAAGGCAAACTATATAATATTACGAACTAGTATGTAGGGTTCAGTTGTTGAGGTTTAGGGCTTAGGGTTTACGGCAGAAGCCAGGAGGGGGCAATATCACTATCCCCGCGTCATGACGGCAGAGCTAGTACAAGGACAGTTTCAGACTTTCGCAGGGCGTTAGAAGAGTTTAGTTGCTTTTTGTTTCTGGGTTTCTGTAGCTTTAAGATAGCACCTTTTGGGTTCGGGGGGGTGTGTGTGCACGGTTTACGGTTTAGGGTTTAGGGTTTAGGTGGTTCAGGGCTTGGGGTTTTCGCGAAGTTTTCCGTAAGGGAAGTGCGAGGCCAACACAACCTGAAGCTAACCTAGGAATCGGAAGATTAGGGATCCTTTAGTAGGGTTAATTAAAGGGACCTTTTAGGGGTCTATAGAGGGTTTAGGGTTTAGGGTTCAGAGTTCCTAAACTTAGGGGTACCTTATTTGGAGGTTCCTTATAATAAGGATCCTACTATTTAGGGTATTGTATTAGGGTCCCCTATTTTCGCAAACTCCCACATCGTGCTATAGTCCCTGGTGTGTTCCGTGCTGCTTGCACCCCTAATATGGGAGCCTAAATAATTAGCTGTACTAGTTTGGGGTTCATTGTTATTATAATTTCAGTAATGGGTCCCAAAACCCCATTCTCACTATTAAGGCCCCTACTTTAGCTTTCCGAGCTGCTTGAGTCCCTGCAACACAACCCTTAAGCACAGACGCCTTATAACAATCATAGCTAACACCACAAGCCCGATCTGACAAATCCACACATCCCTACAAAAACCTTCTACAAAACCCTGGACCAGCGGAAACCACAAAACAGGTAGCTCCCAAAGCCTAAGTGTCCTTGGACCCTAACGAAATCCCCTATAACACCCTCGAAGAAGAAGTACCGAAAAAAACCGGATTACAGAGATACTCACTTTGCCGCCGGTTGGAAGGCCGACTGAAGGCTCGACTGACCCAGCGCAACCGGACACAATGGCAGGAAGAGTCTCTGAACTGGAGGACATGCAGCGAAGCGCACAGAGCAGAAGAACTGCACTTGTGGAGCAAAGCAATTTGCAGACCCCAGAAGAAGCCCGTGAAGGTGGCTGCCATGGTGTACGACTGCGGCGGAGCAGAGGCGGCCAAATATTTGGTGGTTCCTGAAGCAGGAGATGCATACCCCATCCCAGCCGAGTTCGCCGACCAGCACCTGAAGCCAGGCGATTTCGCATTGAGCCTCCCAGAAAAGACGGGTACCCTAAACCCTAAACCCTAAACCCAAGCCTACCTCTACGAAGACCGGCCCCTACCTCGCCCGTTGGCCACGCTCAGCGAGGGCAACGCCCTAGGTCCGCTCCCGGGGATGTTGTGGTTGCGGCTTCCCCCATTGACTTCTACATCATCCCCGTGCAGTGGTACGTATCAACCCGGACCCATTCGGTTGAAACCGAATATCCAGTTGGCTAGCATTAGCGACTAGGCTTTGGGCTTAGAGTAAAGAGTATAGGAGGGTTTGCGGTTGAGGGTTGGTTCGGGCCTGACGGGAACCACCAGCCTATCGTGTAAGCATCGGCATGGCCCGACGGTGGTTGTCAAGTACCTTGCAAGTTCTAAATTGAACCCTAAGCTCATTGAATCCCGACAGCCTGCCGCTGGAACTGCATATTTACCGAAAATATGATAAGGATCCCGTGCATAGCAGAGTTTCCGTGGCAAACTGTATAACACCGAAAGCCCACAGCCCTTGGTCCTAAAGCGCACAGCCCTAATCCCTGAAGCCTGAAATCAGCCCCGAAACCTTCATCAGGGGGACCTTACACCTTACAATGCAAACAATCAACCCTACACCGAGCTCGAAGCTCAGGGTTTAGGGTTTAGGGCTTCGGGTTTAGTTAGGGATCGCCCCAAACGCAAAGCCACGCTTCAGGCGGGCTATGCTGGCTTGAAGAGGACTGTCCGGGTTTTTACAGTTTAGGGTTTAGGATTAAAGGTGAAGGCTTTTGTTTAGGGTTTCAGGTTTGTTTAGGGTTTAGGGCAACCAGCTAGCGTTTAGGGGGATTTTGGTTTTAGGCCTTATGGTGCAGGACTTGGTGGTCTACGTAATGCATTAGTTCAAGGTTTATAAAAACAGGCAAGCAGGTAGCTTGAGCGCAATGTTTTGCAGATTAGATAAACACCCTAATTACCAGAACTTTAAAGCAACTTACCATAACGTACCGCAGCTACGTAAACATCCTACCGGAACTGTATAAACATCCTACCACAACTAGAAGGTGAGAATAGGTGAAGCCTGCAGTAGGACTCGGGGCCCTGCAACTAGGAACACGCGAAGCTACCCGTCCCTCGAGTCATTAAGCAATGTTCAGGGTTCGGGGTTTAAGGTCTAAGGTAAACCCTAAACCCGTAAACCCAAACCCCCAAACCCTAAGCTCAGGTGGAAGCCGGATTTGACGGCGTGATCGTCCGAACGCAGCCTACTGACTGCAGTGCGCCTCGGATCGAGAATGCGGGCAAGTCGGTGGAGATGTTCGACATTCGAACCCCGCCATCGCAACGAATTTTCCTGAAGTTTTCTTGTCCGGATACTATGAGAGCGTGGCACTGGCATGTTGAAACAGAGGAATGGTTCTTTGAAGATGAGGCCGAGCAGAATGGTTGGGCTGGCTATGAGTGCCCTCAGACCAAGCGTCGTTGGTGGTTTCATGAGGCACGTCAGACTTGGTTTTGGGAGAAGCGAGGTCTGTTCTCACAGTTGCTTTGAAGTTCAGATGCTGGTACTTTAGATGCGTGATCGTGTTCGAGCGTTTTGGGCCCCTCTACAAGGCTCCTGATGCACGCGTGCCAGTGTTTAGGGTTTAGGATTTAGGGACAAGGGTTTAGGCTTTAAAGGGTTAAGGGCTAAGGGCTTAGTATCTATGATACGGCTGTTTGCGACAGGCAGCAGATGCTTACCCGCACCATGTAGATAACCCCTATATAATTCCGAAACCCTAAACTCCCTAAACCCCTAATTCCTAAAGTCTAAACCCCTTAAACCCCTAAACCCTAAACCCCTAAACCTTAAAACCCTAAACCCCTAAACCCTAAACCCCTAAACCCTAAACCCCTAAACCCGAAACCCCTAATTCCTAAACCCCTAAACCCTAAACCTTTTTCCCATCTTTTCCCTTTGAGCTCCAGTCGGCAGGAAAGCTGATCTCGAGACCCTCAGCACGACGGAGCTTCAGCAGAAGCTGAAGCGGGCTGGATGGCGCCGGGCTGCCCAAAGGTTGCTTCAGAAGGGGTAGTTGAGGGGCGCTTTACGGTTCGAGTATGTTTTTTTAATATGGGAGTTTCCGAAAATTCGGGTACCGTAGTTTAGGGTCCTTAGGATAAGGATCCTACTATTTAAGGTACTATATTCGGGTCCTTTGTTTTCGGAAACTCCCATATAGGGGTCGCAAAAGTTGCTAGTGATTACTATCTCCTTGTACGGGATTCTATTAGAATATGTCCCCAAGACCGTGTTCTAATCAGTACTAAGGCCCCCATACTAGAGTTTAGGGCTGAAATCCTTTGTTTAGTGTTCAGGGTTTAAGGTTTGGGTGGTTTCTGTGCAAGAAAACCTACCTTGTCAAGGTGCCTTGCTATGTTTTTTTCATATACGTTTCTGGATCACAGGTAGGGCTATAGTTCCAAAGTGCCGCGGTTTGGCGGTAGAGAAAGCCGAATATTCAACCACGAAGGCCAAAACCCACAAAACTCTAAATCCCAATGCTGGTCGGCCTCCCACATAAGCCTTAAACACTAACAAACGAACCCTAAATCCCAAACTAAACAAGCCCCTTATATACACCTTAAACGGAACCGTTACAGCAAACCTAAAATACAAGGTGCTCATTCTACTTGCCATAAATCTGCCCGAAGGCTCGAAATCGTCCAGCAGAATTATGTAGCATGATCTTTGGGCCAGAAGGTATGTAATTACATATGAGCCCATTGAGCATTAGGGCTGTCGAACCCTAAATCCTAAGACCTTACAACCATACCTTAAACCCGGAACCCTTCTCCCCGATAGAACCCTTACAGTGAAAGCCCAAAATTTGAAAACCCAATAGCCTCAATCCTTAAGAGGAATGTAAAGGTAATCCCAGCACTATTTGTCCTCAATCAGGTTTCCAAATTTGTGTGTCTTACTACGGGGTCCTAAACCCCAAACCTCCTAACTCCCTAACTCCTAAACTCGAAACCCCAAAACTAAACCCTAAACCCCCAAACCCTAAACCCTGTTTACTATAAGTTTAACAGGTAATCTAATTTATCTATATTTGTGGCCCAAATCCAGACCCCCGGGAAGATCTAGAAAGTAGATCCCGTAATATGGGGTCTTATACTAATAAGGGTACTTTATAGGACCCCCCCCCCTAAGGGATCTACTTTTCGGATCCTCCCGGGGTCTGGGAAAGGTCCGACCTGTAGTTGGGTTATGGAAAGAAACTGTGGTAAAGGGAACTCCAGAAAGTTGGGATATGGATCAATGGTAGGATCCCCTATAATTTACCTTAAAGGGGTTACGATAATGATATTCCAACTTTCTGGCTTCTACTGTAAGGAACCCTACTTAGAGGATGGGACTTAGTAAGCCAAGGGGTTTCTTAAAAGGGGTTCCTTAACGGGTTCCATAAGGGATCTAGAGGGTTTTAGGGTTAGTCTACTTGGAAAATCATGGGACTTAGTAAGTAAGGTTATAAGTACCTTAATTGGGGTTAACAGTAATTTAAGTATAGTTACTTTAAGCATAACCCTAGTTACTGAGTCCCATGACGCTTTACGTAAGCATGTAGGTTTTTTTTGGCTACAGGTCACCCTAAACCCCCACAAACCTCAGCCCTTAACATGTATTTTTTTGTGTGCTACAGGTAGCTAGAAAAGCCAGAGAGAAACTCCAATATCCCTTAGTTAAGGAATATACCTTAAATTATAGTAGGATCCCTAATATGATTTAAGGTATATTCCTTAATTGAGGGGTATTGGAGTGTCTGGGCAGAGAGAAACAAGGCTTCCCGACGCATCTCTCAGCCCCGGAGTTGGCTGCGACCTCGTCCTTCCGGGCTTTAGAGTCTAGGGGCTTGGTTTAGGGTTTAGGAGTTTCGGGTCTAGGGTCTAGGGTTTAGGAGTTTCAAGTCTAGGGTTTAGGGTTTAGGGTTGGGTGGGACTTGGTTTAGTATTAGGGTTTAGGAGTTTCAGGTCTAGTTTTCTTGGCGGGGTTAGAGTGGGTGGGCCGAAAGTTGTCTTGGTAGGTAGCTTACCATAGATGAGGCTTCCGGTTTGTGGTCGAAGCTTTGTGATTTCGTGCTTTTGTTTCCCTCTGGTCCACTATCTCTATCTCTATCTCTGTCTATATATATATATATATGTTTTTTTTTATGTATGTACATGTATGTACATAGATGGGCTTTCGGCTGTCATGAGCCTTCGTGTTTTGGATTTGGGGTTTTGGAGATCATGGCCTACAAGCCGAGACGTGGAAAGGTTCAGGGATAAAAAACCCCAAGTTTTACGGCTCCATGTACGTATATTACCTATTGTAGGTAATGTAAAGCTGGTTTAAGGGGTTTCCTTTAAGGGTTCTTTAAGGGTAGCAAAAGGATTTGCGGTATTTGTATATTTAGTGTTTATAAGGCTCGATGTACCTATATCTCCTTTGTAGTCAGGCCTCAAGGAAGTTGGGTTTTTCACAGAGAACCCATAACAAGCAAAGCAAGTTGTGATGAAGCGGTCTGGTTAACAGCCTCATGGAACCGCTACTACAGGATAAAGAATCCTATGATTCTATGCAGCCTGTTGAAGCCCCCCAATGTAATGACATACAGGTCCTTAGCTTGAGCCTGCAGCACACCTCCAACTTTTGGACAGTCTCTAAACAGCTCTGCAAGAACCCTAAGGCCCTAAGGGTCCGAGTACCCAAATAGTAGGGTTTCAAAGTCCAAAAGCCATTCAGAGTATGGATTTGGGGATCTGAAACCCTACTATTTGGGTACTTGGACAGTCTGGGGAACTGCTTGAATCCCCTAAAACTAAACCCGTAATCCTACATCTTACGTCCTTGGCAGTTGCCCGGACCCCACGTGTGATATACAATAGAAGCCAGAAAGTTGGAGCACCATTATCCTCATGCCCTTAAGGTAAAGTGGAGGGAATCCTAGCACTAATCATCCTAGATCCATGTTCCAACTTTCTGGCCTTCACTGTAGGTATGATGGCATGTGGCAGCCTGTCATATTGAAGCATCCCTTCTTTGTTATTCCCTCAAAAGGTATGAAAGCAGATATTGCAGCAAGCGGCTTACCAGAGTACTCGAATACGTTAACCATAGTCCTAGTAGCTGAGCATTCTAGCATCCTTAAGATACAGTGACAGATTAGGACAGGAAGTGGGATGCAAAGACCAATGCCGCTACCCTGTCGTTCCAGCTATTGTCTCACATGCTACCTGGTGCCCAGGCCCTTAACCCTGAAGATGCAGATGGTATTTCATTTCAACTTCGCCAGGTAACCCTAAACCTTTTGGGGCTTATGTAAATGAATTGGCTAACCTTTAATTTTGGGCTAGGATACTCCGCCACTAAATAGTGCCCTGAACCCTCAAAGGAACCCTTAAAGGGACCCTGAAACCCTAAACCTTTAAAGGGACCTGAATCCCTACACCTTTACAAGGACCTAGAGTAGGCCCTTATTCCCTTTTTTATGGTTTAGGTTCCCTTACAACCCCCTTTAAACCAAAAAGGGCACCCTTTTTGTTCCTATGTTACTCTTAGGTCTGGTTTAAAGGAGCCTTTAACCCTTAAACCCCAGGGTACTCAGCCCCGTAGTCGTCGGGTGGTTGTCAAAATTATGGTCCCTTGTTGGGTCTTAGGGGTACTTAGAAATATTTTTTACTTTTTGGTTATTATAATCCTAAAGAAACAGCGAACATTATAATTTTTGCTAGGGTTCTAAGTTCAGTATAGTAAATATTACCCTGAGTCGTAAGAGGGTCTTGGGCTTTCCGGGGGAGAGTTTCGGCTTTGGGGGCTAGGGTTTGGGATCTCACTACGAGGGTCCAGGAGCACTAGGGTAGGTGCCGTATTGTAATAAGGACCTAGGATGCCCAGTAGTACCCTTATTCCCTTTTTGTAGTCCTAGGTTCCTTATAAAGTTACCCAATACCAAAAAGAGAGGCCTTTTTATTCTTAGGTTACTGGGTATCCTAGGGACCCAAAAAGGATCCTAATTTTGACAACCACCTTCGTGGCTCAGGTCAAGAGCACGGCTCCGACTCAGTCCATGCTGAAGCTCTTCACTGATAGCACTTTGCTCGGGGCCAGCTTACTGGGATCCTTAGGGGGTTGGGTTCGGGTTTAGGGTTTTAGAGTTTAGGGTAGGGACCCTTGAAAGGGGGGGCAGGGGGAGGGGAGTTGGGTCCTATACTTCCGTAAACAGACGTTATTAGACCCTTATAAAGTCCTTATTGGAGCTATTAGCGCCCCCTACGCCCCTCACCTTTTCCCTAAGGCCCTAAGGGTCCTTATGACCAGCTCAGACCAAGGACAGAACGGGTGTTGAAGATGTCACATATTAAATATCTTGACGGCATGTTCCTCCCGGCTCTCCCAGACCCCCGCAAGGATCTAGAAAGCAGATCTCCCAATTTGGGGCCCTATACTACTAAGGGTACTTTATAGGAACCCCATGAAGGGTTCTGCTTTTTGGATCCTCCCGGGGGTCTGGGCGAGGATTCTGGGGTTCAGGGCTCTGGGTGAGGTGCGTTCGGGGTCTGCATGCAAGGATTTAGCTCCCCAATACCCAACCTTTAAACTTTTGGGGTTCTTGTAGTTTAGTGGGAATCGGAAAGTTGAACCTTTTATTTATGTGGCTTATTGGGGTAGTAAGTAGTAAGAAAACCATCAAACCCCAAGGCCTTGAATCCCTGCATCCCTTGTGAATGACTCTGGGCTTCGTTTCTTCAAGGGCGCCGTCGATGGACAGAAGCGCGCTGGCAATGAGCTTACCAAGGTTCATTTTCCAAAAACGCAGGTGAAAACTTCCCACCTCACAAATGGCGATGTGATGTTCATCCGTCTTTATCGTCGGGAAGATTCACTTGAGAGCTGATACTGTTTTCCGACAGCTGTATGGTGTGTAGGAAATGACAGGACAGCTGTTGACATCTTCTTGACAGCATGAGCTGCAGAACACAAGACACTTCGTTCACTTCTGCTGTTCTTCACAATATTCTTATGTCGAATACGACAATTACGGTTAAGGGGTCTTTTCGAGACTATGCACTTGAGTCAGAGGCCCTGTCCCTAGAACCTAAGCCTTTGTGTTTTGTTGCCCGGTAGCCTGAAGTCAAGAAGAGCTGAAACGGCATCATCCTGATGCTGGACGGTGGATTAGGTGCCAGGGGTTCGGGTTTCCAGTATACGGAGACCCGTTTAAGGAGTGAGTAAGCCGGAATGATCCTGAATCTGTTTCGGTACCTGCCAGAGCTGTAACGCTTCTTAGTAGCTGAGTGGATACACTTTACACTTTTGGGGATAATGTTACGCACTATAATGCTGAAAGTGTACACTGTTGGCGGCTCATGAACTCAGCCACTAAGGCTTTCAGCAGGCCTTAAAATCTGAATCTCCTACCCCCTGATATCTGAAAAGCTCCAAACTGCAAACCCTAGCGAAGTAATTGCTGACTTGCTACATCCAGAGAGCTTTGTTGATTCAATAGGGTCCTTAGAGTCAGAAACTCATATTATATCCGAGTATAACCTTGAAAAAAACCCTGAGGGCTCCATGTACTTATAAGCAGTATGCAGTATATTCTTCGGGCCTTAACATGCTTGAATATGAGCCCCTTCAAGGCCTATGTATACTATATAGGTGCACCGAGGCAAAATAGATTTTGAAGCCCCTATACCCTAAACCCTAAAGCTGGTGGCACCCTTGAAGGTACCCTTAAAGGAAACCCTAAACCCTAAACCCCTTAAAGGAAACCCCTGAAGGAGCCTCGGGCTCCCCTACCCAAAGGGTCCAGGTATCTCCTTGGGAGGGTCCGGAATCTCCTAGGGAGAGCCCTTGGGTCTCGTTGGGGCTTCAGGAATCCTACATTTTGAGGTTCCCCAAAGTGTTAGGACCCTTAGGGTAAACTACAGTTAAGGTTTGGGGTTTAGGGTTTAGGGGGGGGGGTTAGAGTTTAGGGTTTAGGGGGTTTAGGGTTTATAGTTTTGTTTAGGGGGGGTTAGAGTTTAGGGTTGAAGGGGTTTAGAGTTTAGGGCTTAGAGGGACTAGGGTTTAGGAGGTTTAGGGTTTTTAGGGTGTTTAGAGTTTAAATTAGTGTTTAGGGGGTTTATAGGGTTTAGAGTTTAGGGGTTTAGAGTTTATAGGGTTTAGGGGGTTTATAGGGTTTAGGGGGTTTAGGGTCTTTAGGGGGTAGTTTAGGGCTTAGGGTTTGTTTAGGGTTTAGGGTTTAGGGTGTTTAGAGTTTATGGGGTTTAGGGGGTTTAGGGTTTAGGGGGTTTAGAGTTTATGGGGTTTAGGGGGTTTAGGGCTTATAGGGTTTAGGGGGTTTAGGGTTTTTAGGGGGTTTAGAGTTTAGGGTTTAGGTGGTTCATAGGGTTCAGGGTTTAGGGGGTTTAGAGTTTATGAGGTTTACGGGGTTTTGGGTTTATAGGGTTTGGGGTTTATAGGGTTGAGGGTTAATAGGGTTTAGGGGGTTTAGGGTTCAGGGTAGTTTAGGGAGCAGCGGAAATGCAGCGAAGGTCAGCTACACCTCAACCGGCACACGTTTATGGCCGAGGCTGCGACCGCTACTGGTCCTAAGTTCCTGATTGTAGAAGGTGGGGTTGCCATAGTATGAATCAGAAATATGGTTTGGGTAGGTATCCCCGGTGTGGGTTCTCAGGAGCCTTTGCTAACTATGCTAAGGGGACAGGCATGAACATGATCCCTATTAAATAAGGAGCGCAAGAGCCAAGGGAACCCCAAAACCACTGGTTAGTTTGGGAACAAGATCGCTTGATCTCCGTAAACTTAGTGGTCCAAAACTCAACTTTCCGATGTTTGGGGCTCTTTTCAGGTGGTCTTAGTTAGGGTTTAGGTTTTTAGGCTTCAGGGTTTAGGTGTTTAGGGTTTAGAGTTAAGTGTTTTAGGGTTTAAGGTTTAGGGTTTCAATGAGAAACCTTCAGTCTATTTTTGTTATCTGAGCCGCGCTGTGACCACGGCAAAGTCCCATGTCTTATCCTACTTGGAGGGTCGGGGGACTTAGTAAGTAGTTGTTTCGCACACATAGAAGTATTTTGGGGTTAGGGACCCTTTTAAGGTATTTATAAGTCTAAATATTACCTACTTACTAAGTCTCCCGATCCTCCAGGTAGTAAGTAGTCCTCGGATGCAGAGTAACCCCTTATTCCGTTTTTTTAGGGCTAGGTTCCGACATAATCCCCTTTATTAAACCAAAAAGGGCACCCTTATTTCTTCCTGGGTTACTCTCGGGTCCAGAGTAAGATTATGGACCGAAAGATACCACAACCCTAATTAGATTAGGATCCCTTGCAGGGTATTGATAAGTCTACTTAGTAACTATTTACTAAGTCCTACAGTTTTGAGGGTCGGACATTCTAACAGGTAAAGGGTCATAACCCACGATTTTGTAGGGTTTGGAGCTACAGGTAAAACCCTCAAACCTTACGTCCAAAACCCCAAACGCCTTAACCCGTTTGCTGAGCATTTGTCGGTCATTGGTGTTGCAGGGTTCCTATCCAGACTCATAGCAGGAAAGCAAAAGCCAAACCAGAGTTTAGAAAGTTTAGGGGTTTCGGTTTAGTTGGTTCCTAAACCCTAAACCCTAAACCCTAAACCCTAAACTCTAAACCCTAAACCCTAAACCCTAAACCCTAAACCCTAAACCCTAAACCCTAAACCCTAGGCCTGTCGTTCATTATAAAAGCCTAGGTCCGTAAAACTAATAGGGGGTATTGGGGCTCGGGCTTCGGGGTCTTAGAGATAGAATCTTGAATATACCCACAAAGGTTTAGGGTTTAGGGTTTAGGGTTTAGGGTTTAGGGTTTAGAGTTTAGGGTTTAGGGTTTAGGGTTTAGGGAGGTATCCTACAATTATAGCTGGTATTCGCTTCTTGCTTTCACTGAACACCCCTCAGGCGTGAAAGCACATTCCCAGAACCCACATGAGTGGTTGTCAAAATTAGGGTCCCTTCTTGGGGGTCCTGAATATAATACGGCACCTAATATGTAGGGTACCCAAGCAGGGACCATATTTTTGACAACTACCCCCATGCTGGCATTTTTGGGATTCAGGGTGTTCCGGGCTCCAACCGATACTCAAGCAAACGAGAGCCTTGAAATCGCCTCCTTCCCACCCTCCCTGTGTCTGTGCACGTGATTGAGTCAGTGAGTTATTTTCGGGTGGCTATGTGCAGGCAATGCCTGAGCCTTTCTGTGTGAAGGGCGCTGCCTGTGAAGCTTCGACAGTGCATGATTCCCTCTCCATCTCTCTCTCTCTCTCTCTCTCTCCCCCTCTCTCTCCATCTCTCTTTGTTTCTCTTGCTAAGCACTCAACATGAGAGGCCTTATTTTAGCGCCCCTCAAATCCCAAAGTAGTACCGAATAAGTAAACATGTTCAGTACCGAAATACATTGTTCGAGATGGTTTCTGGAGGGATGGAACCCGCCCGCCTTCGTTTAGAGGCCAGGCATTGGCATCCTGAATGTTTGTTGTAGGTATTTGGGAGATATCCCAAACGGCCCTAGGTACCTATAGTAGAATGTAATGCTTTGATTCATATTACTGTAGGGATTACTGTTGTGATTTGGGGGAAGTATCCCACATAACAGTACCAAGGACCCTAAGGGAGTGGTGTCTTCGAATACATGTGCAAACAAGCACACATGCATGGACAATAACTGCGTGTGACATTGCGTGTGTAAGCATATGCACGCGCCGTAAGTACATACTGTACTCATTTACACTCTCATACACGTACATGATCTTTTGCACGAAGAGGTGCACCCAACAACTACACGCTACACTCAAAGGGAAGAAGGAGGGACCCTTAATGGGGACCCCTACCCTGTAATTAATGGGCTATATAATGGGTATATAATAGCTATATTAGGGGTATATACCTAGGGGTCCTTATTAAGGGTCCCTCCTTTTACCCTTGGATACACCCTTAAAGGGTCATGGGACTTAGTAACTAGGGTTATAATTCAGGTAACTCTACTTATAATTACTTACAACCCCAATTGACGTACTTATAACCTTACTTACTAAGTCCCATGATCCTCTAAGTACACCCTAAGCCCTGAACGGCACCGCACCGTCTCAAAAAGGTTCTTCACAAAAACAGGCGAAACTACTCGGCACGTGACTGCTAAACACCCCCCAGAGACTCCAACATCCCTCAATTTAGGAATATTCCGTAAATCATATAAGGGATCCTATTTTTGTTTAGGTATATTCCTGAATTAAGGGATATTGGAGTCTCTGGGCCCGTACCTGGACCCCTCTGAGCTGACAGGTGGGGCATCGAATCGGTTCCGATCGGGACTCTCGGATCCTTTGTCGCTTGTGCATGGACCTGCCGGGGCCCAAGACTTACCCAGACCCCCGGGAGGATCCAGAAAGTAGATCCCCTAATTTGGGTCCCTATATTACTAAGGGTACTTTATAGGAACCCCCATTAAGGGATCTACTTTTTGGATCCTCCCGGGGCCCAAGGCTTAGGGACCCCAAAAGGCCATACGCACAAGCATTTTGCAGCGAAGCCCCTGCCTTATTGGGGCTGCAGTATAAGGGGGCTTATATGGGGGCCTACAAGACGGAGTTTAGGGGTTCAGGTTTCAAGTTTTAGGCTTCGGGTTCAGGGGTTGAAGATTCTAGGGTTTAGGGTTCAGGGGTGTCGGTTTTGGGGCTTACAGGGCTTATTGGCGAAGGTCGAGGGTTCGGGTTTCGCATTTCATTGATACCCTAAGGGTCCATGTACCCAAATAGAGATACATGAGCCCCAAAGTACCTATATAGGGACTACATTAAGGCCAATGTATATACTATATGAGTACATGGACCCTTAGGGATACTTACATGCCGAACAGCAATCGTGATGCTTCACAGGAAGACACCCAGAGACTCCAATATCCCTTAATTAAGTAACATTCCTCAAATCTTTTTAGGGATCCTACTATAATTCCTTAATTAAGGGATATTGCGGTCTCTTGGAACCAAGATCGGCCTTGATTGAGTGCGGCTACTTGGAGGATCGTGGGACTTAGTAAGTAAGGTTTTATGTAGGGTTTAGGGTTTAGGGGTTTAGGGTTTAGGGTTTACCTGAACTGGGGTTAGAAAGTATCTATAGGTCTAGTTACCTCGATTAAAACCCTACTTACTACTAACTCCCATGACCCTTTAAGTATGGCTTTGTCACCTCGGGCAGCATAGAAGCCTGAATTGATTACGGCACACAGATACTATTCCTGTGTGCTCCTTACCAGTATTTGAAGGCTCTTGCGGAATGCAGTGGGCACCGCCCCCACTCTGTGACAGCTGGAGAAAGTATATTTATAAGCATCCGTCAAAACTTCGGTAATTGTAGTTAAGAGTAGGGTGACCGTGGAATGCCGTACATTATCTTGCCAATTTCCTTGGAAAGCCATGGGACCCCCACAAAAGCGGTACGATCAACAAAGATCATTTGTTGTGACATTTCCGTGCTGCCGCGGCATTTGTGCCTGAATTTTGTGTGGTGTATGGCTAGGCAATCGATACCTACTAATTAAGTAAATCCTTTCATGAGCCACTGCCCCATGCAGTAAAGGATAGTCAAGGGCAGCAAAGTGCAGTAAAGGGCGGCAAAGGGCAGGCAAAGGGCAGTACAAGGCAGTAGAGAGCAGTAAAGGGCAGTAGAAGGCAGTAAAGAGCAGTAGAGGGTAGCAGAGGCCAGCAAGGGGCGGTAAAGGGCAGGGATGGGCAGGGCAAGCTACGAGGAGGGTTAGCGAGTCTGATGGTCTTCTTCCTTTCACAAGAACAAAGCGATACCTCACAGAAACATGTGACGGAATCCCTGCAAAGCGATAATACCCCCCAAAACATCCATGGTTTGGCCAGCCATGGACAAGATGTTTTGACAAACGCTCATCTACATATATATATATATATATACACACATACATATATATATATATGTATGTATATATGTATATACATACATGCATACACATACAGCCTTTTGTTACAGGGTGGGGGCAGTGCCCGAAGTATGTACTCGTTGCCAGAAGACCTTAGCAATGCCGGGGGTGCCGGTCGTCGCCGGCATTCCGCGCCTGGGGATCTCTGTGACTTTTGACGGGGATGCTGGAATACCGGGCCGTCTGTCTGTCAGTGAAACCCTTGCATATCTTTGCCTTGGCCCTAAACCTAAGCCCCAAAAAACTCTAAACCTAGGACCCAGAGTAGGCCCTTGTTCCCTTTTTCAGGGTTCAGGTTCCCTTATAAGCCCCTTGAAACCAAAAAGGGCACCCTTTTTATTCCTGGGTTACACTTGGGTGTAGCATATCTTTGCCCTGGCCCTAAACCTAAGCCCCAAACAACTCTAAACCTAGGAGCCAGAGTAGGCCCTTGTTCCCTTTTTCAGGGTTCAGGTTCCCTTATAAGCCCCTTGAAACCAAAAAGGGCACCCTTTTCATTCCTGGGTTACTTTTGGGTGTAGCATATCTTTGCCCTGGCCCTAAACCTAAGCCCCAAAAAACTCTAAACTCTTGGGGTCTTGAGCAGCTGGCCAATACTGGTGTGGTTTTTCAATATGGGGTTTGGGACCCAGAGTAGGCCCTTATTCCCTTTTCCAGTGTTTCGGTTCCCTTATAACACCCTTTAATCCAAAAGGGCACCCTTTTTATTCCTGGGTTACTCTTGGGTCTAGGGTTTGGGTTAGTAAGCCGCAAACAAGGGGCTTGTGGGGTTTCAGTTTGATTTTGCAGGTCCTCAGCCCATGTCGAGTACTTGGGATATACAGGGCTCGGGCTGCATGCTTAATGGTTTAAGGGCTCAAATATTCGAGTGCAGGGTTTTACGGGCTCGGGGCTGAAGGGTGTACGGGTTCAGGGTGAGAGCTTTATACCTTAAAACGAGACCGCCGGTAGTATCTAGAAAGTAATTTGCTAGTTTGGCACCCTACACTACTCGAGGGTACTGACTTTACAGGAACCTGAATGAAGGGATCTAATTACTTGGGAACCTTAGGCCCTACCCCCTAAAGCCTGAACGATGTTCCATTCCGAGGCCACGACACTATCCATACCGAAAGCTGCTGGAGGAGTGCCGACAGGCTGGTCCGACCTTTGACGTGATTTGCCATTGCTCTTATCAGTTTTTCTTCACGGGGATCTGCGCTGTTGCGGTTGTGACTTGGTTTTGTTTGGCTCGGAAGGGTCTCGTCGCTTGTACAGCAACTACATTCAGGTTGCCATAATGGGGGGTAGATACTGACTCACACGCTTGATTACTAGTACCTGTATAAAAGGAGCCAAGCCTAGGATGTGGGGGATGCTCATAAATGCAGGCACCTGTAAGCAGTCGACCCGGACAGCACGATTGTTGATGGGCATAGTCCTGCGTATTCCACATCTATGTTAGTTCCTTGATTTGGGATGTGCAGGTTTTGTCCATCAGCATAAGCCAACCATATGGTCAATCGAAGTGCTGGGTGTTTACCCATTTCGTAAATCCTAAACCACAAATCCCAACATAGCATAGAAGGCACGCACGCACGAACACACACACACACACACACACACACACACACACACACACACACACCCACACACACCCACACCCACACACACCCACACACACCCACACACACACACCCACACACACCCACACACACACACACACAGACACACACACACACACACACACACACAGACACACACAGACACACACACACACACACACACACACCCGCGCACACACACACACACGCGCGCGCACACACACACACACACACGCGCGCGCATCATAAACATATACGTACACCAACTGGTTATCAACTGTCCATCTGTTTTTGTTTGTCGACTTATTCATTCCCTTACATAGTCGTTATTGATGGTGCTGTTGATTTACGTGAATACCTTAACCTACCAAACCCTACTTTATTGTAGGCTCTTATTATACACCCTCATAAGGAATTTACAGGGTCACTCGAAAAAAGAGTAGGTTTTGGTAGGTTAAGGTATGTGCATGTGGTTACTTTTGTGTTTTGTGTTCAGAGTCCTAACACATGGATCCTCAGAGCTTCCACAGACTCTAAAAGCCTAGTTGGAACATGGAATAGGATGATCAGTGCTGAGATTAATGTTGCAACTGTCTGGCTTCTACTGTAATTACAAGCTAGCTGCAAGCCTGCAGCTCCATGCTAACCTAACCTTTAACCTTTTTTGGGTAGTATAGTCCCTATAGAACCTCTATATAACTAAAAAGGTTAACCTTCAGTTCCCCATGATACCCGACAAGTAGGAAAGCTTGGTTTAGTTCAACAAGACTCCGATCACAGAGGGAATCTGAACATGACTTCAGAGGGTTTTGGGTTGGGGTTTTAGGGTTTGAGGGTTTAGGATATGGAAGATCCTAAATAGTAGGACCCTTACTATAAGGACCCCAAAGTAAGGCACCCCTAATTTTCGGAAACCCTAAACCCTAAACCCTTTATAGAACCCTTATAGATCCCTTTAAGGAACCCTTGAAGGATCCCTTTAAAGGTACCCCTAAACCCTAACTTTCGGAAACCCTAATCCCTTGTAGAGCTCGGAACCCTTTTACAGCCCTTATAGTAACCCTTTAAAGGAACGTTATAGTAAGGGAAGGTACCCCTAATTTTCGGAAACCCTAAACCCTATAGAACCCTTATAGATGCCTTTAAGGAACCCTTATGGATCCCTTTAAGGAACCCTTAAAGATTCCTTTAAAGGTACCCCCCTATTTTCCGAAACTGCCATAGGGACTGGGGGTCGAAGCCCCCTCATTCGCTAAGGGCTGGAGCCTCGCAGCTCTTTCAACTTCCCCAAGGGTCCAACGGACCCAACCTACTTAGAGGATCATGGGACTTAGTAAGTAAAGTTATAAGTACCTTAACTGGGGTTATAAGTAATTATAAGTATAGCTTAGGGGTGTAGGGGGGAGGGGTGTAGGGGACTATATTTCCTTAAATAGGCCTTATTAGTATTTATAATGGGCCTTAAGGCCCCCTACCCCCCGTCCCCCTACACCCCTAAGGATCCCTATGATCCAACGGACCCAACCTAGACCCTCCATCTACACTCTATTAGACCCTAAATGCCCATGATTTGGTGACGGCTATTGGCTTACTTGGAGGGTCGGAGGACTTTGTAAGTAGGTAGTATGTAGACTTATAAGTACCCAAATAGGGACCCTAAATAGGGGGTACGATATTTGTACGTCCCTAAAATTAACTACTTACTAAGTCCCCCGACCCTCCAAGAAGGGTCCAAAGGACCCAACACGGAGGTACTCGGTTTACGATAGTAGTTATGTAGGTTAGGATTTTCTGGAGAGTAAAAAGCTATTATGGTAGAAGCCTACAAGTTGGAAACCCAATAGCCTCAATCCTCAAGAGTGCTGTATAGGGAATCCCAGCACTATTTGGCCTTCATCCGGTTTCCAACTTTATGGGGCTTGCTGTACGAGGTACTTGGACCCCTGGGGCTTCGCCCTAAACCCTAAACCCGGAGAGAGGAGTGCCCCAAACGTGACATCCATCGCCTTCAAGCTCTTTTGGACTCTATGGATAGACACCAGCTCAATGGCACTGGGCCGGAGAGCCGTTGGGCTATAGGGTGTCTCTTACAGCGTGCAACGGAGGCGGTGGATGCCCTTGATATGATCACCCAGATCTTGGCACGGCGGGTGGTCCCTCGTGGCTACCTCCCAGTACGAAGGGTGCCAGCACGACAAGACGTTATGTGGAGGATCTTTTCGTGGGCAAGGCAGGGGATCGAGATTTACACGGACACCATCTCTGAGCATCTCCACACGCCCTTGCAGCCAACGGACACCCGGCCTCAGGGATCTGATGTGGTGGTCCCATCGCCGAGTGAAGAGGAACCAGTGGCACCGACCACCCCGGCGGACGACAACAGGGTGACCACGGATGCTGAATCCTTGGCGTGCACTACGGAAGCTGCGGATGGGGGTGCTGCAAGGGACGACGATGGTGTGGGCGATGTGGATAGCCTGGACAGTCGTTTTGCCTTGAACTCTCGGGGAGAACGTGTGGAAGTCCCACCTGCTGTCCTTTCGCCTGGCGCCTCACCACTGGGACCTCCACCGCCACAGCCTGTTGCCTATGACCCACCTACGTCGAGCAGCAGCAGTGACAGTGTGACATCCACGAGGACTCCGCCACCACAACTTGTGTCGCTCAGTCCTCAAGGCATTTGGCGTGAACCCCGAGATGAAGATGACGCGGATGAGACTGACCTGATGCAGTTTGGGGTGATGTTGGCTTCCTCGTCTTCTACCTCGACGACAACTCTGCCCTCGCCGGAGGATAATGTGCGCGATATGGTATCGGCCCAACTGGTGCAGGGCAACCATGGAGACGCGGTGGATGTAATGCGCCGCCTTATGGATCGACAGCGCCATCTTCGGCATTGCGATCGTCTTTTGGCGGTAGCGCTGGAGGAGTGCTTGTCGTGGATGCGACTACCACTCAGTGCGGTTCCCTTTAATGCTCGGTCCATGGAGCTGGAAGTGTGGCAGACAGTGACCTCGCAGGCCCAACACCACTCGAATGTGGCCGTGGACCCCATCTTGATGCCCACTATGGATCCTGCGGTGCTTCTGCAGCCTGGCTTGCCCCAGAACCTCCATGAGCTGAATGCGGCCTTTGAGCATACGGAGATGAGTCACACGATAGCTGGATTCCGTCGCCGTGGGTGGAGGCATCATGTACAACTTTTATATGGTGCAGAGGGACGTGAAGTACCTGCAGGTAACTGGCCCCCAGAAGATGATCGCCGCTTACTCCTTGTACAGAGCAATGAGGACACGGATGTTCTGAATTGGCCGGTTATTGCACCACGTCCCCATGTACCCCACCTTCAACGTGGACGACATGGTCATGGTGGACGTCGCAGAGGATTTCAAGGACGTCGCCCTGTTCGTCTTCGGCCTGATCATGTTGAGGCTCGGCATCGAGATGACCCTAGAGAAGTTCGTCGTGAACGTGGCAGGAATGTGGTGGGAGCTACGTCTTCTGCGCTTGAGCCACAAGCGGCTGCATCATCTGATGGTATGGGTTCTTCCGTCTCTCCGGGAACGATCTCCACCCCTTTGCAGCTCGGAGAGGTGGTCGAGGAAGAGATAGCATCGGTCGATGGTGGTCATAGTCGTCGTGTTACTCGAGAGAGAAGTCGAAGTCGGGACGAGTGAGATATGTGCTTCTGAGAAGGGCGGTGTCGTCTGAGAGGGCTTGTTTACAGTGCATGCTCCATCTGGAGCAAGCTCGACTTCTGCTGGAAAAGGGGCTATTGCACTTTAAAAAAAAAGAAAACCTTAAACCCTAAACCCTAAACCCTAAGAAAGCCCCCTCAAGTGCTTTCGACCTGGATAGCCACTTCAAAATCGAAGCTCCATTTTGTGAAGCCATGCCCTTTGAACAACGAGCCCGAAGCGGAAACCTTAAATCCGAAACCATATCGCAGCTCTTCTTTCGACTTAGATGCTGCGGGACGACGATAACCAGTCGCAGAAGACGCCTGCGAACGTGGCGGGAACCTTGGTTGTAGGGTCGAGGGATTTAAGGTCTCAGAGTTTAGGGTTTTAGGATTTCAGAACTTTGAGCATATGGTTTACTGGTATTTGATTTCAGAGTTTCAGGCTTGCAGGGTTTTAGGGTTCTAGGTTTAAGGTCCTGTTGCATACGGTTTCAGAGCAATCTGCCTCATTACTATGGGGGAGGTCAGAGATGATACCTAAGGCTTCAGTGGTCGAAACTTCATGATTCCGGTTTTCTGCGGGCTAGTGCGGAGACAGTGCCTCGAGGGATTGTAGGTGAGACAGGGGCTGCGTTGCGTTTGTGTTCGCTGTAGAGACACTAGGCATGGCAACCAGCTGCAGCATGTTTTGACCCGAACCAACAGCTGTAACTCACTCTTGTTTTTCAATGCCTTTCAAGCAAGGGCATTCTAGAAGCCTGCATCATACCTAGAAATATTGGCCAGAGTATCCTACTTCTTTCAGGCTTTAGGGAACTACTTCAATGAGGGGACATAGTATAATCAGTGTCTACTGGCTCCACAGTGTTGTTCACCGTAAAGGGGGTTATACCCCAGTGATCTGTAAGGTTTTCTGGCTACAGGTTCTTCATCAAGCATTCTAGGGGTAAAAACCCACAAGTTGCAGGGCTTTGAGGCTAAACGCAAATCAAAGCTCTAAACTCGAAGGCACAAACCTTAAAATCCTACAACTCCCCTAGGCCCTTACTAAACCCCATATAAATCATACTCTGCCAGACTGGACGCAGAAGCTTCATCGAGTCTCTCTCGCAAAGCCCTGGGGTGGCTTGGCGATATCACAACATCATCCGACATGTTCGTTCCCATACCCCTTATACTGTATTCAGGGCTTATAGAAATTTAGGGTTTAGGGCCTTTAGGGTTTATGGTTTGGGGCCAGATATTTCAATACCCCTCAACTAACCAATATCCCAGAGCGTCCAAGTACCCAAATAGTAGGGTTTTAGGTACCAGAAACCATTCAGAGTATGGGTTTTGGGATCTACCCCCCAACTATTTGGGTACTAGGACCCTCTGCGTATACTTTAAATTATGGCAGGAGCCCTAACTTGAGGTATTTTTTCATTGATGGAAGGACTTTGGTAGATCTGTGATTCGACTGGGCTTCATCTGCACCCTGAATCAACCGGCACGTTTAGGGCAGGTTGTTTGGTGTACTGTTCAGGTTCGGGGTTATTGGCTGTAAAACGCTTGACTGAAAAGTTGGATGTTTGATACTAGCGTGACGTGCCCTGAGCCCTAAACCCCTAAACCCTTAACCCTTAGCTTTGAGGCTTAAGGTATTCCCTGTTGTTACTGCGAGTGCTAAGTTCAGAAGAGCGCGTGAGACCAATATGCAGATACCTATAAGCCTTAAACTGGCCCAAGCCGTATACAATCCTAGAGACCTTGAGCCGGCACCAGTAGGTCATAACCCAGGGAAGAGGCTCTCGAACTTAGCAGGCGGAGGTCATGAATCGATCCCCGAACCAACCCTACTTAAAACAAATCATAAAACTTCATAGCTAGCGTTATTAAGGTAACTATACAAAAAAACTTATAGCCCCAAATAGTTTACGGTACTTATCACCCTACTTACTAAGTCTAAACCCCCGTAGATCGCTTTTCGAACCCTTTAAGGAATTCCGTTAAGGAACCCTTTAAGTTACTCAGTCCCATGATCCTCCAAGTACACCCCGAACCACGCCAGAGTTGTAGTATCCTTAAGGGAGGGGGGTCCAAGGGGGGTATATAGCCTAGTGATCCCTAATCCTCCCTAGTACTCGTCCCCTAAGGATTCATTATACCCTCCCCCCTTGAACCACCCTCCCTTAAGGATCCTATAACCGAACCACGCCAGAGACCAGACAGAAACCAAGAATCCTGAACTCGGAGGCGCGAGCATCGTCGCAATAGCAGCACGTACAGCTACTATTTGCTTAAGAACCCCCCCAAAAAAATGGAAAATAATAATCCCTATATTACCCCTATAAGGAATATTTTTTTGATTTTTTGGTGTTTTTAAGCAAACAGTAGACAGTGTGTTCGCAGGAATACTTATGACAGCAATTCGCCCTAAACCCTTAGCCCTAAAACTCTAAACCCTCAACCATTTCAAGTGGGTGGTTGTCAATTAGGGCCCTTTCCGGGGTCCTGATTATAATACGGCACCGAATATGTAAGGTACCCAAAAGAAGACCAGAATTTTGACAACCACCCAAGTGTAAGTGTCTTCAACGCCAGCCCGAACCGGGTATTCGGGCAGTGCAAGAAGAAACACGCCCTGGCGTGTGTCCCCAGGTTGCGGGTCTTCGGGTCCTAATTCTCTGTTAGGGTTCCTTGAAGGTTTCTGAAAGGGTTCCCTTAGGGTTCCTTGAAGGGTCTCTTTAAGGGTTCCTTTCAAGGATCCTCGGGATCTTAACTTGGACCCGCGATACCCAAACTTTTGGGTTCTTGTAGTTTAGTAGGAGTCGGAAAGTTTAAGCTTTTCTTTCTGTGGCTTACTGGGGTAGTAAGACTACAGATATTGAACCCCGAGAAAGTTGGAACATGGATTAATGTTGCAACTTTCTGGCTTCTACTGTATTTAGAAGATAGCTGCAAGCCTGCAGCTCCATGCTAACCTATCTTAAACCCAGAGACTCCAATATCCCTTAATTAAGGAATGTACCTGAAATGATAGTAGGATCCCAAATATGATTTGAGGAATATTCCTTACTTAAGGGATATTGGAGTCTCTGGGAACCTGCCAAGGCCAACTGTTTTGTAGGGTCCCTGCAATATCTCTGTTGCGCTTTAACACAGAGAAATGGTAGGTTAATGTAGGTTAACCTAGGTATGCGATATTCAACATTTATAATCCCTCGGATTTCTTCTACAACCCCCTGACTCCACAACCTTCTGATGAAACCTTCTAAAAACTATTCACATGAAGAGCAATGCAAGCTTGCAAAACGAACAAAGGTTTAGGGCTTCGGGCTTGAAAGGTTTAGACTGGATAAGACACAAGAGGGCTTAGAGCTCAGGGCTTACAGGAGTTGGGGAAGTAAGATCCGTGGAACTTGCCAAGGCATCTGCAAGCGTTGTGAAGGCTGGCTGGTCTTTGGTTTAGATCGGTTGTATATATATATATATATATAGGGCGCTACATAATACCCTGCATGACGTATTACCGGCCCCTTGCTTGAATCATGCCGAACTACTTTACCACACCAAGAAATTGATTCTGATGGACCCTATATTAGCTACTCGAAACCATCGTCCGCTCTTGGCTTTCACCCTTATCGCAGTCACTGTGTATGGCATGTTGTTAGCATGTCTGCTCCGGTTACTGATGCACCGCGCTATTTGGCTGCTGCCACGGCATGATTGCTCGTTCTGCTGAGTCGTTGCGACACCGTAGTAGTTAAGACGTCGTACATAAAACTCCAGTGAATATGCCTTGTCCCTGCCATGTTAACATCTTGTGGATAGAAGGTGACGTGCTCTTTGCGACAGCGGGTCCTTGAAGCATACGGTGTAGAGCTTTTTGTGGTTTGGGTTGGGTCAGCAGGCTCTGACATCTGTGCTTTTGCACCATGGTTCTGGAAAGTAGTCCTTGCATACAATGCAGCGAAAAGGATGCTTGCATTTACCGGGCTTGAGTGCTGTTGAGGTTTTTAGTGTTTCTTGGGCCTTTTAGGGTTTAGGCACTAGTCTATCGCTGAATTTCGTTTCGAAATTTCAATGGACATCCTCCTATTGTGCCTAGCCTAAACAAATGAGCTGCAGTCAGCATTCGGGTGTTTCCTTTGTTTTTTTTGTGAGGGACGTGCGACTCCCTAGTAGTAGAGTAAGTAACCTTGAACTTTTTGGGGTAGTATAGCTATATAACTATATAACCAAGAAGGTTAGTTAGTTCCCCGTGATACCCGACAAGTAGCGTAATGATAGTCTTACCGATCAGTGCCATCATAACGGTTCAGGCATTGCGAGAAGTTGTCAACCGGCTGCACCGTGTGGTGCTCAGCACTGAAAGCCTAGGCCCTATGGGTTCTGGGTTTCCCTTGGCGGATCTACAAAGTAGAGCCTCTAATTTGGGGACCTATACAATTAAAGAGTACTTTATAGGTCTGTGCCTAAAGAATCCACCTCCCCGGGGTCTGCGTTTACTTGTGTATCCAAGACCGTATATCCCAAACTCACTCTTTCGTGGGTGTTGGGCCGCAGGCGCAATTTTCATATCAAAAGCCCTAGGTAAATTGAACCGAAGACCTGATCTTGGTGTCTCAATGTTTAGTACAGTTCTTTTGCTAGATTTCCTCTGCTCTTCGAATTTCCTACGAGGTTTCTGGTATAGAAGCTTCGGAATCCGGGTCCAATGCTTCGCCAAAGCCTTGCTGTAAAGTGCAAGCCCTTAAACCCTAAAGCTTGTTTCTGAAGCCACAAGCTAATTTCCGAAGCATACAGCACACATGTTGTATAGATCCTCAGCCGCATACAGGGTATACTATATAATACTTATAGTAATAGTATCTTGTACGTAATCGTAGAAATATGAGTATTAAACCCTAAACCCTAAACCCTGAACCCTAAACCCTAAACCGTAACCCTAATGAACATGTCAATGTGGCTCTTATCCCGATAAGTTCACTGCTCGATTGCTATGCATGGATGCTTTGTTGGTGGGGTTTAGCCTTTTGGATTTTAGGGCGTTCAGAGTTCAAAGTTTTGTCTTCAAGTGTTACGCTGGTCAGGGTTTAGGGTTTATAGGGGCTTATCTCTACGCTCATGCTCTATTGTCGCTATTTTCTAAACTGCTGCGACATCCTGTTCCCGTACTTTGTGTCGTTCTGGTTCCTGCACCCTGGAGGACTCATCGCGCAAGATTCAATCTCTTCACCATCAAATTTGGATACTACACCGACTCAGTAGCAGCTTAATGTTTCCGATATAGATGTACAAGCCATGAACAGTACCCTTATTGTGGACCGTCACTGTGTGAGGCAGTACCCAACCTCAACCCCAAAAACCTCGAATTTTCAGTGCCTAGAGCCCCTTCACCATCAACAAGCAGCTGAATTTTTCAGGATCCTTATTATAAGGACCGCAAATAAGGTACCCCTACGGTTGATGATATAAATCCTGCATTACCCATAATAAGGAATATGCCATAATTCCCATAGTTTAGGGTCCTTAGAGTAATGCAGGATTTATATCATCAACCGTAGTTTTCAGAAACTCCCAGGTATCGAATCTGGTTCCTGCAACTACTTGACCATCAAGTTCAAGCCGCGGGCAGAGCTTCTTTCAGTTCTGTTTGGCAGAGGTTTCTCTTCAGGGCGGGGACTTTGACTAACACCTCAACAGTTCTGTAAACATCCTTGAAAAGACTAGAAACATGAAACTCGTTTGTTAAAGGTTCTATTTGTTGCT